ACAGTAGTTTCATTGTGTAGAACAGAAAGATTCAGTGTCTCCATATCATAGAATGTACTGTAGTTTGAATGAGGACTCAGTATACTAGCTGAAAAAAAAAGTATATTTGCTTTATTTAACATGCAATATAATTCAATATTATTCATTGTATTTCAACAGTTGCAAGTTGTGCATATTTTATGCTACTCACTCTAGGGCTTAAATAGCCAAGGGTCAAAAAATATGAATATGCATATAAGACTCAATAAAGTGAAGGAAACCCAACATTTCAAGTTTTCTGCAATTGAGTCCTCTCTTTTTAAAAGTGTGGCCAGGAGAAATATGCATTAAAGTAAGGCAGGCTGCCCTAAAGCCAGGCTTACAACCAAAAGAAATGAGTTCTGTAATTAACTTGGCAATCTGCTTGGCTGAAAATCATGTCAGTAAGTCATAGACAGCATGACAAATGCTTTGCTTTATAGAAGCTCAGGAAAAAAATGCAGGTGAAACCATCTTAAAATACTTACTGCTTTTGTCACAGATGGTGATAATCAACTTCAGGAGCAAAAAGTCATCAACCCAACCAAAAAATGGATAGAGCACATTGTACTAAATCATAGTTTGGTTAACCACAGCTGAGTAAATCACAACTGAATGGATTTGTACAACATATTAAACTATAAATTATAGCTTACAAACCCCAGTGACTGAGTTAATACAAAATGCTAAGCCAAAGCCAAATAAAGCACAACATGACTTAGCAGTTTGCACAACCTACAGCTGTCACTACCTGTAGCTCCAAAATGTTTCAACTCTTCAAAATGTTAACAGATTGCAAATTCGCAGAAAGATGGGGAAATGCATAATCACACCATCTATATTTTAATCTAATTATATTTAATTATTAAGCATCAATAACTAAAGAAAATAAAGTTTCAATATAAATAATATTTTTAATATCAAGAGGACTGAGAAGATATCTGCAGACCCTCACATCCTGAAAATAAACTGTTTCAGCTCCTTCCCATGGGATGGCGTTATAGGGCATTGTATCCAAATGGAATAGACACAGGCACAGTCCCCCCCCCCCCCGCCATTATTCTGCTGAACACCTATTTCCCCCAGCTTATGGGTTATTTACCCATGTGGTATGGCTGTAATTCTATACTGTTATTTATCCTTCTTATTATCTTTATTCTCCTCTTATTGATGTGATTATGATTATTCCGTTGCTTTGCATGTACACTGAGAGCTTCTGTACAAGACACAAATTCCTTGTGTGTCTAATTGTGTGTCATACTTGGCCAAATAAAGTATTAATTCAATATTTGTCCTGCTGTCATTGATGACCTTGTGGCCTTCAGCCCAAAATAATGTGCTTTGACTTGAAAGGTTTTGCATGTTGATTAGTATGTGTCAACCAGGCAATAAATTGACTTACTCTTGTGCATCTTTAATCTCAACTCACTTTTGCTTTTTATGTTTTTAACCCATTCTTCACTCTGCAAATGTGTGAATTTTTAGAAATGACTTTTAAAAAATTGGAAATTGAAGTCCATATATTTTGAGACTGTCCAACAAGGAAAAAACTTTGATACTATATCTTGGGAAATGATTTATAATACATATGCTTAGCTATTCTGAATTGTAACTCAGAATTATGTAAGAAATACATTTTTACAAGCTGATTCTTAAAGTAATTATACTGATTCTATAGTAATTATACTTACGAGCTAAGCATATAAAGCATTGATATATATTAGACATCTATTCAGGCCTGTAACATTATTTAAGAATTCTCCAAACTGTGGAGCTATATTTGAAGCATGCAGAGTCAACTAAACTGTTAACTCTATAACTATATTGGTTATACCTTCTGAAATTTTGCCTAGACAGCAACTATAGTTGAGTTGAGCAACTTACAATTCTGCTCCATTGAAATTCCCATGCTGTTATACACAGGAGACAATCAGTACATCCTGCTGATTATCAGCAGTGGAACCAGTATATGAAAAGCACTGCCGCCCTTCAAACAGATGAATATTCCATGCTTCAAGAATGCCTGAATAAATTTTAAATATGCCATTGATATATTTTTTCTTCCATGATAGATTGAAATAAGATGTTCAAATAGCTGTATAGTTGTGTGCCACCTTTTCTTTCAAGGAGTATTTTTGTAGCATAGTAGCTAACCTGTGCTTTGACGTATGAATTACCTTATTTTGGACATTGATCTATTATTGTTTCCACAGCAGTTCACTAGTTGCCATGACATGAACATTTACTAGTTGCCAGGACACTCTCTTATTTGTTTCTCTATCCTCTTATTTGTTTCTCCTATATATAGACATAATCTCTACATATGCAGCAATCATAATAGCCATTCACAGGTTTATCCTCCATGCATTTAATTAACTTTGTTGCCTGCATGAAAATCCTCACTTTAATGGCCATCATTGTTTTCTGGTGGCAAATTCTGTTACCAAGTTACCAAGTTGTCTCTGCTTAGTGAAAAAACTATTTTCTCTCAGCCTCACGTTTTCTCAATCTACCAAATGAGAGATTTTGAATGCTATTATATAGAGGAAAGAGCCCATATTCTGGGTAGCATAGAGCTGTTTTGTTTCTTTCCACAACCACTAGAATGGTCTGTGTGTATGTGTATTGGAAAGGGAGACTTGCTTGTCTCCCAATCTTTGTTGCCTATTAAAATAAATTTTTGATATTAGATTGCTGATACCTTATTATATTCTGTGTCTTCCAAACATTCAATATTTTTAGTAAAAAAAATACAATGTGTAGTGAGATTTATCTTTCATACAGAAGGCAGCTGGGTTCCAAACAGGATGCAGCATAGTACGACCCAATAATGCTGACTTATTTAGAAGATTAAATTATACATAACTTGATGATGCATCTGAATGTTTTCAATTACATGAATACACTAAAATATTAAATTCTTATAACAATCATATCATGGGGGTTAGGTTTAGTTCTTTACTAAATGGGTTTATGGTTTTTCTAGGCTGGTTCTGATACAAAATACTATAATGGCTTTTTAAAAATTGCTGTAATGTTTCAATGACATATAGAATTTGGATTGAAATTCAATTCTAATTATTATCCAAAATTATTATTATTCAAAGTAAAATTATTAAGAGGGGATTAAGCACATCATTTTTCATAATCATTAGTGTTTGTAGTTACAATAAGTCATATTTTGAATTGCAACTTTCCAATACAATTTGAAGATGGGGAAGGAGGGGTAGCCTCAAAACTACTTCTTAGAGTACCATATACAAATGCATCTACTGCAGGGATGTCAAACTGCTGGCCCATGGGCTGGACGTGTCATCGGGGAACCACGCCCACTCCATTGCTGTCAATGGCGAAAAAGCTCCGATACGTTGCACAATGTCACGTGACATCACAAGTTTAACATGTCTGATCTACTGGGTCAAAATAAGATGGGAAGAATGGGGAATATTGTTTACAAGAAAAAGAAAAAAAAGGCACAATATATTATTAGTTGTGGAATCCTTGATGCTCTCTGAGCTTGGTTGCTTTCTTTCAGATGTTTCATTATTGAATTAGGTAACATCCTAATTACCCAACAAGGTAACATTATTATCAATTATTTATGCAGTTTAAAATAGTGAAAAAAAGGAAGAAGGGAAGATATGTATAAAGAGAGGAACTGAAAACAGGATGAAAAAATAAGTATATAATGAATATTGGAAGACATTTTTTAAAGAAAATAGTGGCTATTAAGGAATAAAACCACATACACAAATAAACAAAAACATGCAGAATGAGAATTGTAAGAGATTGCAATAACAATATTTATAAATAAATAGTTTCTCTCTTTGCCTCCATAATCTGGTTTTCTTCCTAAAATTCCAATTGAAGAGACTAATTTCAAGAGTCACTGATTTGAGGACAAACCTATTACTATCTGATTCCAATAATCCCCTTTCTACTGCAGTGTTATATTAAGAAGGACAAAAATGTGTAAATATGTCTACATTTTTTCTTAGTTTTTCCCCTATTCTTTGGAAACCTCAATCCAGTTGAAATGAAGCAGAGGTCCACAGAGAATTGGAAATAGGGTGAGTCAGATATTTTCATTCTCATTTGATTGAGAACTAACTATATTCCAAATTACCCTATTCTGCATCATGTTTAAAGCAACATCGATACAGTACAACTTGTATCAAGTTGGAACATAGCCTTACAAAGTAGCTTACAAGCTACAGCTTTTATGACAAGTACAATTTAATTACAACTAATATCTGTGGGGAAAATTGCAAAGAGAAGTTGAAAAAAGGAATGTTTGTTAAATGTTCATCTGTGATTAAACTGCTTACACAAATAGACTGTTCATTAAACTGTTCTGTTGTGCCAGCTCTCCTTGCAGACACATAAACTTGGATAGAGATTATTAACTGAATATTGTAATCCTGGATGAGTTGCTGCCACAAAAGTTAAAACAAACTTTACCGTTAACATTGATGAATTTTCAAATACATGTCCTTTTTTGAAAAGTGTTGCTTAGCACATTTATGTAACAAGAAACTAATTTTGCTATATGTAACAAAACTTGCTTATGTTGCAGTCTAAATAAACAGCAGGTAAATTGAAATGCATTTTAAACATGAAATATGTATTCAGGCCATCAAGAATAATATGTACTTGTACTTGCAAATACTTTCCTCATTTTTTAGGATTCCCAGTTGTTGCTTTGCAAGCATCTGTATTGTATATGGAATACATATACATACGCACACTCATGCCCACACAAATCCCTTTGATTTTAATAAAGCTTTGGCATTAAGGGAAGATTATGTATGTAAATTGGATGAAAAGTTTCTGTATTTTTTCCATTGCTGTGCATTTAGCAGAAAAAACTATTTAACAAAATTACAATCCTAAATTTCTTCTGTTTGAACCAATTTTTTTTTCGTGAAAGCTTTTAATGTGCATAGATAAGTTACTTTACAATATCAAAATGTACAAACACCAATTTTACATTTCTTTATTTGCACATCATTCTATAACATCTCATTACACGTACTATTTTCTTACACAAAAGTCTGATATGGACAATATCCTTACATACATATGGAAATCTAGAAACAATAGCATGTTTATTATATTATGTGCAATGTGTAAATTTAATAAAAGTGCACCTGAATTTATGGGACTGTTTATTTTATCTCTAGGCTGAAAGACTTATCTGAATTTTATAACTTTTATATAACTATCTGAATTTTCTTCAGGAAACTGCAAACTGTTGAACAGGTAATTAATCTAAACCTTATAATTTATGATTTTCAGAGAATTGAATACATCAGGTGTTATAGCATTTATATATATCAGGGGTGTTAAACTCGCAATGTCGTATGACGTTGCAACGTATCGCCAATTTCTTTCCATTGCCAGCAATGGGGTGGGCATGGTTTTGCCATGACACATCTGGCCCATGGGCCGGCAGTTTGACATTCCTGGTATATACTGTACCTCTGTATTCCAGTAACATTATTAATAGGAGCAATCTTATTCACTAGGTTTATGAGATGTTTATTTCAAACGTCTCACCTATTCTTGTCTGATAATGTTTGTGTAAATATGTGGGCAGGATGACAAATATTACCTAGGTTTTAGGGTTGGTAGGAATAAATTCTGCAATTTTTATTTAAAATTCATTTATCTAAAATGAATGGTTTGGAGATGCATTAAAATGTTTCCAGATAGTTTTGAAGCAGAGCATGCCAATTAGACATGATACTAAGAAACTTGATCTATAGTAGCTATCATAAGGGAAAGTTGGGAAGGCACTGGTGATATGGTCTTGACAAAAACAGCAAAATAACAACTCACAAATTCTGTCCTGAATATTTTTGATATTTACATATCAATACTGACTGTAAAACAGAACTGAAGTTACTTTTTATACAAGATATTTTTACAGTTCTGGAAATTCAGAATTCAATCTTTTATACCTGCTACTGGTATTAACTTTTTTACAGGTAACATTAAATACCACATTTTTAGCTTTATAAAAATAATTCTCTATCGTTGTTCAGTGATAACTGACATAGTTTGGTTTCAAAAGATATTAAGTCGTAACTAGTCAGCAGTGTAACTAAACTGATAATGCAGATGGCACAACGCCAGTGACAGTCTTTAATACAAATGAATATGAATTTTCATTGAAAAAACATTTGAAATTGTTAGGACTTTTAAAAATGTCTACATGGTAAAAAAAATTACGAAAGTGAATATGGTTTAATTTGTTTTTAAAATTTTACAGAGTTAAAAGTTAAATGTTTATTTCTTTACCTCTATAGCTATCTGATTTAGCACAACAACCAAACTAGACAGACACAGACTTCAATGGATAGTTAGGACTGCAGAAAAAATAATTGCAATCAACCTGCCTTCCATTGAGGAGCTTTACACTGCACGAACCAGAAAGAGAGCTATGAAAATATCTATAGACCTCTTACATCCTGGACATAAACTGCTTCAACTTCTTCCCTCAAGAAGGGCACTGCACGACAAAACAACCGACACAAAGACAGTTCCCCCCCATGCTATCACTCTGCTAAACAACTAATTCTCACAACACTGTCTATCCCTAGGATGTCAAACCACCTAGTAGGGCTATATTACTTATTATCCTTCTCATCTTTTCATTTTTCCTATTATCTATTTCCTTAGCTTCTCATGACCATAACTTCGTTATTTGTATCTCATGGTTTATGTTGATTGTCTTTATTTGTTGTTTGCTTATTTAGTATCCTATGACTATCACTGGGTTTGTAGCTTATGATTTATGATGATTGTATTTTATGATTATGACCACGATTTATTATTTGTTGCTTGTACGTACACTGAGAGTTTATGCACCTGAGACAAATTCCTTGTGTGTCCAATCATACTTGGGCAATAAATAATGAATGAGTCCTAACACTCTAGATAGAATACATAAATTAATAACTTTATTTTGTAACAGTTTTTTTAAAATAGGCACATTTTAAAAGACATTCTATAGTTTTTTATTTTTACAGACCTAAATTTATGAGCTCAATATCGTACTTTCAATGAGGTTCCTTTATTCTTGGGGTCTTTCCATAAAAAGGGTTTATTAGTTTTTCAACAAACCGTTATTTTCCTTGTAATAATCTCAGGAAAACACAGTACAACTTAGATCTGGAATCCAGTGTTAGTGCATCACATGGCTACTTATTTCTAAAACAAAATGGAATCTAATGAGAAAAATACACCTACATGTGATTAGAATAAATCTGGAAATACAGCAATCAATTTTTGAACATGCCTTGTAACATACTTCAATCTTTATGTGAGAACAAACTGTTTCTGAAATTCAGTTCTGTAATACAAATTGTTCATAATACATTTGTTCTTTCATGATTATAGATCATCTCTTTGAATAAACATTTTATAGTATATTTGTAATTATGAATAAATAAATGTTCATTTGAATTTCTTAGTATGAACACACACTTATGCAGAAAAAAACAGTATTTTGGATGCCATTATCATCAAATATTACTTGGCCTTCAAAGTAATGGAGCCAGTTGCAAGTCTTTACATCTGAACATCCATGTTTTGAAGCACTATTGCCACTCTGCTTGGAATGTATACCTAAAGGGAGAATAAAAACAATCTTATTATTGAGCCATAAAAACACCTTTGTGATATGGGAGGCATAAATCTAAATGACTTAAATAAATTACTTATAATGTTACATTATTTAATGTCACTGAAGAATCAAACACTTATTAAATATAGCATGGATATAGAATGAAATTCTGTACTTGCGTATTTGGTCTTAAGACTAATTAATAGAAATGATAAACAATGCTGGATTGGGTAACAGGTTTAAATGAAATTGGAACTAGAAGACACATGTGATTTAAACTGATTGAGTCTGAATGTTTGAGGACGTCCACTAGTAAATGACAAACTCTTACTATTTAATTTGATCGCCATTGTATCATGGACTGAATTTGTACTTTGGCCGAGATGTCATTCAGTGGAAGTAAATACAGCAGAAGAAATAGTAAAGCATTTAGAAATAGTAAAGCATTAAGTCAGAGGGCTGAAATGGGTCTCACTGTGATATATATATGTTGAACAAATTTACTGAACAATGATAATATTCTTTCAACATTATGATTAAGATAGTTCTTTTATTCTTTCAGAGAAACTCTGAATCTGAACTCATTTTTAGGTAAGAAAAAAAGAACTCTGTAACAGTGGATTTTATAATCCTTTCACAGATCATATTCTGAGTTGTTGTTTTTAACCAACTGATATATGTTCTTTACAGACTGCAGAGTGTAACTGATCATGTAAGCTGACCTCAATAAAAAATGCAATCAGAAAAATGTAAGTTGCTAACTGAAGATTGTTGCCTAGCTTTTTGACAATGCTTTTAGCGCCACTTGGCATTTCTAGTATAATACTATTTCCATACCTGTTAAGAGCTAACTCATAGCATAAAGTGACTTTATAGTCAGCAACCAGAATAAATAATGGAGAGAGGGGGGGGGGAAGGGGGGATAGAAATCTTCACTGAATCAGACAGTAACATGTCCAATGGATCATAGCTATTTGTCAGTGATCAGAGTGTTTTGTGACAAATAACTCCCACAAATCTGCTCAGCAGGTAAGGACATTTGACATATACCTAGAATCCTGTACTCTGAAATTTATGGAAAAAAAAATAAAAAGTCAGTGAAGTGGTTGATACTTGGTTATTGCAAAATATGTGATGAGGGGTTTATTTCCAAATATTTTAGCAAACAAAACCATACATTTGCTGATACTTCAAATAGTTCAGTAGAGAAAATCCCATGTTCAACATTAATGAGAAATAAGTAAGAGACAGTTATTAGTTAAGGGAAGACAATCTATTAATGAAAATTCTCACTGACAAAAGGATGTAGGCTGATGTCTTTTTTTTTAACTTAGCAATAGCTAGATAAGCATGTGTTCTTCACCCCTTCTATAATCCCAACTATTATTATTTCTGCCTTCTTAGACTATATGGATTCCACTTACATTTAGAAAATGACATTTAATATGGAAAAAAGTACGTATTAAGCTACCCAATACTATCTACAGTCCAAAGAATCAACATACCAAAAGAGATATTTTAATGTGTTTTTGATAATACTGTACTTTAAAAAATTAAAACAATATTAAGAAAGCAAACATGTTAATATATCCGTAAAGTAAAATAAATTTTCATTTCTCTTGATCATAGTCATCAGTTGAAAGTCTTATTTATGCCCCTGTATAAGAGAACTTCCTGAAAAAGTTCCACCTTTTTTTTTTCATTTGTAGAGAAACCTGGATTAAATTATATTTTAGCATTTGAAGGAGGAAATTGGATATGAATTTCCTGCCATTATTAACTACTAGCACTATTTCACTTTCCACATCATATTTTCTTGTTCTTTCCAATGCCACTGAAAGCAGCTTGAGGGCAAAGATTTGGGGGAAAAACACACACAAAAAAAACCAACCCTTTTCTCTTTGCCTGCCTTGATTTTACAAAGTTTTGCTGCAGACAAATCTTTACCCTTACCTTTTTTTCCAGCAGAAAGGATTGCAACCCCTTCCCCCCAATTTGGGGACTATCCATCCCATTAACCAGAGTGGGTTAAAGGGAAATTCCTTCCTTTTCTGCTCTGCCAGAGGGCCACAGAATCAACCAAAATATGAATAGGTTGGGATGGCATTTTCATATCTTTGCTGTCTTTTTTTCCTTTTCTGGAAACTTGTCCTTATATTATACCAAAATATACTGCTCAAAAAAATAAAGGGAACACAAATGTATAGGATCCTATACGTTTGTGTTCCCTTTATTTTTGTGAGCAGTATATAATTAGCCAAAAAGCCCATAATTGATTTCTCTCTTTCTCCCCCTGCCACTAAAAATAGAAATATGTTAAAACTTAACAGTTGTTATGGGAACTTTTAAAATCTATTTAACTTTACTTATATGTTACCATCAAGAGACTCACAACAATAAAAATCAATAAAATATATTTTCAAAATAAAATCAGCACAAAATATAGAGCCAGATATTTGATGATTAAAAATATATTTATCCCAAATAGCCAATATTTCATCAATTTATTCCCCAGATATATGCTAAAAATAATATTTTTCATACTTCTAGGTTACACTGTTAAAGAGGGCAGCATTCTTACCTCAGAAAGTAAAAGAATTCCAAAGGGTTATAGTATTAACCTTCCCCTTCTCAAATGCTAACCCTCAAATAGATCACTGGTACAAGTAGGCAAAGAGATCTCAATGACTGCACTTCCTTTTTTTAATATAATTAACTAATAATGAAAGGATGTGAATTTCCTTCAAGCCCCAAATTTTTGAAAAAAACCCAACTTTTTTAGAACACAGGCTTATTGTTATTATTAGGATTTTTCCTAGAATATTTTAATCCAAGTATTATGGTTATGTGGATAATGTCTTCCACCCTCAAGAACTCAGTGAAAACTTGTTCCATTTAAATGCAGACTACTTTTCTATTGCACACGTGAGTTTAATTAAATAAATACCAAATTTTAAAAAATGAGAAATCTATAATGTGGAAAAAGAAGGAAAGCTACAAATAACATATGAAAACATAGTGAAAAAGAATTCCTTTAACATTGTTGAAAGACTAAACATGGTGTTAAATTTAGAAGTGCATCAATATTAATAGATGCACCATTCCATCCAAAAAAACTGATTTGCTAGTACAAGGTCAGTGAATCTCTGACTCAGCCATCCTTATTCTGCCTGTTTGGGAATATCCACATGTCTGCCACATCAATTTAATTGAATGCAGATTCAAATAGCATTAATGGAATATCAACATAAATATATCTGCCAACATTTATTCTGGAACATACTTAATTTGAATTTTAATTTATGTTTAAACTATAATGTACATTTTGTAGAAAAATGTCAATTATTACTGAATAATTAATAAAACAATAGCTAATTGAGAATGTGTCAAGTTGTCATATCATATTGGGCAAAAGCAAATACACGTCATGCTTGCAGCTGAAAATATATAAGAGAGAGTCAAGCTGAATTTCTTCGCTCCATCGAGAATAACATGTAAATACACAGTACACTAAGTTTTGTGGTTTCTACTAAATATCCAAAAGTGCAAACCATACTTATGCTCAACTTGAATTGGCTTAAGTGGAATTTCCTTTTGAAAATATTAGCACAATTGTTTTGTGATTCACTGTCATTTAAAAAGAGTATAGATTTCTATAGAAAAATGCAGCAGCATAAAGTAAAAAATACAGAATAAGCCATCATTCTACTACTACCCATTTCTGTAGTTAGCCAGAATAAAGTTGATTGTGGATTAAGAAATACCAAAACCAAATTGAAACAACAAATAAAACAACAAGCAAAAAGAAGCCAAACTTACATCACCAAAACCCAATGTTATAATTACAAACAATTATCAATTGTTTGATACTGGTATAGTATTAACATTACTGAAGTAATAACAAATGACTTCAAAAGAGATGAGTCTGGAAAGAAGCAAAATTACCAAAGTAAATACTATTTACATTTAAGTTGATAACGAAAGACTTTGATCATTTACAATATTATGGATGGTAGTTACTATGGGGGTTTAAAATAGCTGAAATTTATACAAACACTGTTGTCCTTAATTATATTAAAAACATGAATCCCGGGTATACACATGTCATGAAAATGATAAATAAATCCGAACACCAGGATAAAATATAAAGAAAAACTGTTTAATCTACAAAAATGCTGAGCTTTCGTCAGCCAAACTGCCAACATTGTCAGAGCGTAAAACACCAGATCTGGGAGTTTGTTTATGTAACTGGATCTAGCCCGTTGATCAGGTCATTGGTCCACCCATTAACACCGGACGTTCTGTTCTTAAAGGGGCGATACTCGTCAGTATTGTCAGTTTTTGAAGTTGGTCTCGCCCCCAGTCATTGTTATTCTCCTGGCGTGTGTGCAAGCACTTGGGAAGCAGCTATTGGCTTGTGTGTATACAGTATGTGTGTATCTATGTATGTGTGCAAGTGCATGTATGAATTAATGGGCTTGTTCCCAGCAAAGTACAGAATTCAAGCTTGAATAGTTTAAAAAGCTGTTTCCTTGTAAAGAAACCTAGGATAAATTATGCTTTCAATTTATCCGTCTCTTTATCACATGCTGTTTTGGGATTTTTTTTTTCTTTTCACTGCAACTAATTGATCTAATTTATTCTACTATATATACTGTATATGTGAATCTCTGCTTAAACTTCTACAGCAAGAACCAGTGCAGCAGAAGTTACTATTCCCAATTTACCTCACAAAGTAATGGGTCATTCATTTTCTTTGAGTCTTATAGTGCTGTCATCTAATAACATGAATAAAGATCCCCATCAGTTATAAACAATACTTAATGTCTCTCTTCCCTCTTCAGGACTTCATCACATAGTTCACTTCTTCCCACATTCAACTCTTTTCAATCAACAAATCCATGAATCATATTATTTTTATCTATTTTCATCAAAAAAAATCTATACATGTTTTCCAGTCTTTTAAGAAAATACTTATTATTTTTTCCTTGATCAAACAGGTCAATTTTGCCATTTCTGTTAATTCTATCATCTTCATAGTACAATCCTCCATTATAGTAGTTCGTTATTTTTCCACCTTTGCACATACAATAGCTTCATTGAAGTTACTATATATAAAACCAATTTTCTATGTGCCTTTTCTAACTGGCTATCCAGTTGTTCAAATATCCTTTGGAATATATCTGTTGTAATCCCTATCTGCTCTGTTAATAATGTTCTCTTCCCTATTTTCGTTACTTTTCAGGTTGTAGTCATTTCTGTTTTTAATTTATAATCCATATAGATATAGCATCAAAAAGATCCTTTAAAAAATTCTTTTAGTCCTTAACTTTTTAGTTCAATTCAGCACTTCATAGGTTTACAGTCACATGGTCTTTCTCAAATGCCCCTTATCTCTTCATTTAAAAGACTTAGCCATTGAGTCTCCTTAAGAAAATCTTCTTTCCCACAGAGGTATGCATTATTAATTTAATTAAATTAAGAGCAGAAAATTTAAAAATTAACTGGCCCCTTCTGTTTTAGTTTTTATAATTCAAATTCTTAATATGTATTTTTTTTTACTAAGGAGAACTTTCTTTTGATTAATTTTAAACCTTATGATTAGTTCTTTATTTTTCTTCTTGATTATATCCCAGGTTGAAAAGGCAGTCAACAGATGTCTAGTTGCTTTGCTGTTTGAAAGATCTCTATAAGTGTCAAAGTATTTACCGTAAATGCCGGCATACAAGGCGACCCGGCATATAAGACGACCCCCGTCTTTATAGCCGGGCCGCATTCCTAGAACGTCATCTTATACGCCGGAAACTACCAGTATTTCCGGCGTATAAGACGACTCGGCGTATAAGACGACCCCCGTCTTTGGCGCCGATTTCAGCGCTCGCGGAAGTCGCCTTATATGCCGGCATTTACGGTATATCTAAATATGCTTTAGAAAACAAAATTTTATTTGAGCCCAATGCCCTTAAAGTAGACTCTGCATGAGGCTGAGAGCTTGATATTCCTTCATTGGTTTCTGGTGTTCTATCCAATGTGCTTAAAGTTTCCATTCAGATCTTGTGAGTTTTCTTGTGAAAAGCAACCTTCTGGAGCACATGTGGGTGATCTCTTGGATTCTCCTATATCTGTAGAAACTCTACAGATCTGGCCTCATAACCAGGTCACAAATTTCTACCTCAGTATTGTCGTCAGTTATTGGAGCAGTTTACCATTTTCTCCATCCAGAAATCCAACACAAATATGTTTGAAATAGATGAGCTTTACCTGAAGGTGCATAGTGAATAGAGATATAGGTATTTTTATGAATGCAACCTGTTACAATGTGGATTTTTAATTTATTTAATTTTTAACTGGGAATGTTTACAGTGGTTATCTTCTTAATTCTCAATAAGAATTCAGGTTAAGCATGAAGCTGTATTTTAATCAAAATTAAATATTACCATGCTATTTATATATATATAAAACCCATTTCCATTAACGGGTCACATTGATTGTAGGCAATGAGATTAAAAAATTTCCAACTTATACTCCAGATCTCTTTGTATTTATTGATCTATATATTTTTTATTTTTATTATGAACAGTATCAAAGCAGAAGAGTATATTACTGAAATCAGGAACTGTTTATTTCCCATAAGCCACATTTATTTTCTTCTTCTGACAAAATTATGAAGGCTCTTCCACAAATAATATATCTGATAAAATAGCTTCAAACCAGTAAAAAAAACAAGCTTAATTGAAATCTACTAGTTTATGGGAAAAATAAATATCATTAATATTTACTATTAGGAGGGTTTCTTTTCTGCTTTGAGAAGTCTTAGTATACATATATTAAGATATATATATTATCCAAAACAGGGTTTGTTTGTTTTTATTTGCTGCAATGCTGTTTCAAAGGTAATATGCAGAAACCATGGCTGCATGGTTATTTGGAATATCAAGGGTTGTCCAAAACATCAATTCTAGAGTAAAGAAATCAGTAGAAATTGGAGATATTTGCTCACTAGAAACATGTTCTGCTAATGCAGGGGGAGTCTTTAGATTCTGCTCTTCATACTGACAAAGTGAAGGAAATGGTCTGTAATCTTAAAAGATGATAATGCGTAAATATGTCATAACACTCTTTGTCCATTCAATTCTGAAGTCTACCAACTGAAAAAAAAATGTGAAACACAATACTGAACAGATGTCTTAAGATGTTTTAAGTAACTCTACTTTCAGTTTGTAACATATATTAATGTTTGGTGAGGTGTGGTTTGTTTTGCACCTGTTGGTTTAGGCCTGGTGATGAGGATCTCGCTTTTTTGTCATGCTACTATTTTGCCTACACACCTGTCTGCAACTTTACCTTCAAGTAGTGTGTGTGCTGGTGTCCACGGCTTTGGCCATCACTTTCATTCAGTGCATTGGGTTGCTAAGGAACACAAAGGAAAGGATGACCCACACTCAGGGTTCAAACTTATATTGTAGTGCCAATATCATGCCATTAGCCTGTAGCTAGATTCAAACTATATTAAATGCTTGGTTATTCAGTTTTTTATCATGCTTTTTTCACATGCATTTGTTAAATTGATTTTTACAGTTATTCCAACCTTTGTATACATTAATTGTATTTTGCATCTGCACTATGCTTGTCATGTTGATAATATGTTATGGTTAATAAGATCATAATAATTATCTGAGGCTATCTGCTGTATATTAATTTTTCATTACATTGGTAGAATAGTAAAATTTGCAGGAAACCACTCTTCAGAACTGCATTGAAATCACTTTCCCACACTGGGGTTTCATTCACTGTAATGTATAAAGTACAGAACAAGAATATACATATATGCAGACAATATATGCAAAAAGGTATATACAGAATGATCGAGGATATTAAAGTGACTGTTGTTTACTGGCACATATTCTAAGGTCACTGAGATGATTGTTTATGAATATAAATATGACCATAGTTGGTTTCTGATACTGTATAATATTTATTTTATTTATGTATTTTATTTACATCATGCCTTTTTTTTTTTTTAACAAAAGCAACTCCAAGTGGTGAACATAGCTAATACTCCTTCCTATTTTCCCCACAACAGCCCTGTGAGATGAGTTGGGCTGAGAGAATTTCACCCACCTAGTTTTCATAGCTAAAGTGACACTAGAACTCAGGGTCCCCCAGTTTCTAGCATGATGACTTAACCACTAGACAAAACTGGTTCAAGTATGTACAATAAAAAATATGTAGTCTATAAATGATTGGACCTGAAAATGCCTTAACTGATTTAGAGTTGAGTTAAACAGTTTTGATTTTTGTTCTATAAAAAATTCACTGTGTTTGGATTTGGCCCACAAAGTTGTTCCTTTACTGCCCTTTTTTCATCAGCACCTAAACTAGGCAAAATAAATTACATATTGATATTGATGGTAAAACATAGATAATGACATATAGATATGGTTTGCTTACAGCAATTGCTAGATAATTTGTTTAATCTGTTTATGAATACTGCATCTGTGCATGATGATGAAAGAATGCTACTATTGTCCAGTTATACAAGAGAAAAAATAGGAAGAACAAAAAACAACAAGATAGAGAAAAGTATTATTTGGGAAGTACAGTGATAGTTTGTGGCAAACATTGAGTGTATAGATCAGATATTTTAGTAAGTCACTTTAGTAAGTCACTGAGAAATCTACAAATGTGAAAAAGGTTTACAACACAACTGCTGATTTAAAGAAAGAACATAATTTGGAATTGAATTATGTAATTTTATATGCACAAACACAGTATTGGACTTGTAGATATTACAGGATGGTCTATGATGAAAGTAAAGCAGGCATAAAAATGTGGAATACTTAGCAAATGGTTGCGTAGAACAAGGTAATGATGTGTGTTTGGACAAATTTATGAGCATACTTGTACTATAAGAGCTATTTTATTTGGGGATATAAGTGTATGTATACTTTGTATGCAGTTGAAGCCACACTATTTGAATGAGAACACAAAATGATTTGCAGTAAATGCTAGTATGACTGAATAACAGTATATGAGGGAAATGGATATGATAATCCATATATATAAACCAAGATTTTTTGATGCTAAAGGAAAACGCAGAGTGAACAAATGTTAAGCTACACTAATGGCAGTAGAATACTCTAGTAGTGATGAATGAACATTCATTGAATACAAAAGTGAGTGATTAGTACAAAAGAAATACACAGAAGTACATTTCAAAACAAATGTATGAAGGGAGAATGAACAGATGAATAAGAGGAAAAAGAAAACTAAGAAATTTTGGTTGGAGGAAATTGGTAATTTCCTGAAAAAAAGAGGGAAATGAGAAGATTAAAAAAGAAATGGCAACATATTAATTGGACATGATGGATGAAAGAATGTTTGCAAGAATTGAAATATATGAACTAAACTAGAATTATGAGTTCTACTGAAGTACATTAGCTGTACTTTCTTTTATTATCTCATGTATTAAGATCATCTTTTAATCCTTTTAGTGCTCTATTTAATGTTGCTTATCCTGAATTTAAAGATAGTCTAAACCAGTGGTTTCAACCTTTCTAATGCCGTGACCCCATAATACAGTTCCCCATGTTGTGATGACCCCCAACCACTTATACATCACTGGGTGCCAGGGGCGTGGCCAAAGAAAAGGGGAAAAAAATGGCGGACAGCCTTGTTTGGCGACCCCCGTGAAATGGTAATTCGACCCCAAATGGGGTCCCGACCCACAGGTTGAGAACCACTGGTCTAAACTGTGAAAACACTTTCCCAGTGAATAAAAGAAAAGGAAGGAAAGAAAAGGAGTCCAACATTATTATATTCTGCTTACATTTTTCCTTTGGACTGCAGTTTGTGTTTAACATGATCAAAATTTTGCACTGAATAAAAGAATCCCCACATGTAAAATAAAAAAAAACATGAAACAGTGCATCAAATGCAAGTTTACTCCATATTCTTTTTTTTTTGTTTTTAAATTAAACCTTAAAAAGGAAATAAAAAATATTATGCTTGCATTACTAAGTTAAATACTTCTAATACTTAAATTCTCATATTGTATAAAAGAAAAACTAGAGGTTTTAATAGATGATTCCTGTTGATTAAAATATTAGTAATGAAAATCATAGGATGCATACATGCAAAGAATTAAACACAAAAATTATTGGTATAATGAACATTTAATTGAACATTAAAAAACCAGGAAATCATGAAAATGTTGTTAAGTTTATTACATGCATATTTGGAAGGTCAGAATTGTTACATAAAGTTTAAAATATTGAGAAATAGTTTAGCTGGCCTTTCTTTCTGCCATATAAACATTTTTATAACATTTACTTTTATAATTGTTCATGCAAGATCAATTACTATATTTTATAAAGGGAAAGGATGAAGGCAATACGCAGGGATTTAGTACAAAATTTTAAATATTAACTATCTCTCTGAAGATGTACTTTAGAGAAATTAAAGTAGAAAAGTGTACTTACCAAAAGAGAATTAGATCGATGGTTATGTGAATACTGCTGAGAAAAAAATTCTGTAGTATGATCCAGTCTATTATGTCCTCCATACTCTGGAGCATCAGAATCCAAGGCAATTTTATATGTATGGCAAAAATTAAGGATTTCTATAGCAGATTTACATCATTTAAAATAAAAAATAATACACGTCTATAACGTTTAGATATTCTCTGTTTTGTATGTCATGAGCTGAATACACATAACCTTCCATTAGCATGCTGGGGTCACATTAAAAAAAATCAAAGCAGTCAAAAAATAAATTTCATTTGCTTAATCTTTTTTAGATAAATGTAATTAGACCTAAATAAAATAATTAGATGTAATTATCTTTCAATATACAAAAAACAGATGACTCTTACTATGTTTAGCAATTTTCTTCTTCTATATAATTATAATTAGGGAACAAATTTTGAAGACAGTTTAGGGAAATAGGTTGTTATAAGGAATCAAATTGCTCTCTAATCTACATGAACAAAGGTTATACATACTACTATTCAAGTATCTGTTTATTATTCAGTATAAAATATATTTACCTATTTTACATGAAGGAATACATTTAGTCTATACCCAGTTATTTAGTAATAACCTGCTTGTAGGAAAATTGAATTTATTTTGGCGTAAACGTGTGTAAGACTTCCAGTAATCATGAATTAAATATAAAGAAAAATTACTTAATTTATGAACTTTGGTCCCACTTAATTTACTCATGGTTTACCACCATTAACTCAATGTGACTTAAGTCATAATTATCAAAATGTTTCAAGTGGAAACACAGAGGATTATTATAAAATTTAATACAAAAGGAACTTTGAAAAATGAAAAGTTATGAAATTTATTTACAAAGAAATGTCAAATACCATTCATGTATCCACAAACAAACACACATAAATATATTCAAGAAAAGTCTGGACTTGACAATCCTGCCCCAAGCAAGATCCCTTAAGCAAGAACAACCCTCAACTCCATTCAATGTAAAAGTTTTACTTTACTAAAGGTCAAATGGATTCCAGTATAGCAAAGCCAGAACTGAGGTTAGTGCACCAAATTTTCATAAATAACCTTTTCCCATTTGTCCCTTCCCATTTTTGATCTCTCATTGTCCAATCAATTCAAATAAAATGTTTTGGAACAGTCTCTTCATTTGTAGAGTAGGCGGTGCAAAGGTGCATGCCTTTCCCAGCTATCTGACCTTGAAGTTGTGTCACTAGAAGGTATGATATGTTGTTAGCCTTCCCCTAACAACATAGTCACATGTCACACAACATGTCACACAGCTAGAATCAGTCTGCATTTTCTTTGGGACAGGTATTGTTCCAAAATTCTTCATGTCTGTAGAGAGCCAGGTGTGTGTGTGTGTGTGTGTGTGTGTGTGTTGAGAGAAAAAGATTTTGGAGAAACGAAGGTTGCAAAAATGTGTATTAAGCTAGAAAACAGAAGGCATGAGGAACAAACTTAGACTGATTTTTCCCTAATTCGCTTGAATGTACAAGGGGAGAAGCAAAAAGTCAGATTTTCAAGATTCTATTAGTAAGCCTGTATCAACAGAATACCAGCCAGATTGTGGATACAGTTTCCTGACTTGGCCTACCCGAAAGGACTAACAGTCTCCCATTTTTATCCCTAGCTTAGAGCAATATATTTCTTATTAGAATGATGACGGACAGATATAACACCACCTGAAAATACTGCACATGCATATATTCCAATATAGAGATTGAATCTATATCACATGTGTTGATAAATTCTCACTGCGGCAATGGCAAACTATTCTCCCACCACAAGGTGTAACTATTTTAATGCTCAAGAGATTACCACTTTCCCTTAATGGGACTAATTTCCCCCCAGAATGCTACAAGATTCTGATCAACTATGGTTTACAGAAACTATTTAATATCGCTCTTACATTAGTAACTGTTCCTGAAAAATTAAATGATGTAAATTACTTAGGGCAGCCTTTGCTTGACCTAAATCTCTGCAAACGTATTATAGTGTGTTCAAAGCTGATGCTTAAGTCAGCATGTTTCACAGAGGATTGATCCAGAAAAACTCCTAAAACAGCATGCAGAAACTTTCTTCCAGTAATTGTTTATACTGACAATCATCTTTAGTTCCTCCTTGCCTACCAGAAAGAAGAGATCAAAATACTGTTTGGATTACTTTATGGCTGCTTCTCCATTGAAATATGATTTCAGCAGGTGCCTGCACATTGCCAGCACATTGCTGAAATGATTCATTATGTATTTATAGAGGTAAAACAAGTATGTGAAGTGTTGATGGAAGCTGGACCTGTTAAGTCACTAGCAATATTTTGCTTCTGTACCTTTGACAGACTGATTTTCTTACAGTTTTGCTCAACCTTCTTTGTATTATTTTATAATGAAGGCTGAGCAAAACTGTAAGAAAATCAGTCTGTCAAAGGTACAGAAGCAAAAATTAGATACCAGCATCTAAATTAGACCAAGTGATATAGAAGCTATAAAGCAATTAAAAATTATAGCCAATTATAAACCAATTATTTTGTTGCCAGGTATCTCCACATTCAAATTATGGAAAGCCTCAGGAAAAGGATATATACAAAATATAGAAGCTGTTATGCTAAAAAGTATCTGCTAGGCTCAAAGGCCTTTTTTGCCAAAATGCTCTGCATTTTTTTTCAGCCTTATTTAACCTTACTTAAAGCAGCATTAAAAATAGTTGCTGAAAGCGAAAAAATGACTCTTGAGAATGTCATTATTTTAACGTCATTATTACTTTTATAACTTGGATATTTTAACCTCCTGTGTTAGCTCAAACAACAAAATTTATATTAATGGTGATCAGTTTGGAAGCAAATGTGTTAGCTGTATTGTTGTCACTACCAAGATAGCAAATGCAGAGTGATACTAAAGTGAGAATCTGGGATTACTGTATTTTCCGGCGTATAAGACGACTTTCTAAAGCATGCAAATCAGCTCCGAAGTTGGGGGTCGTCTTATACACCAAGTCGTCTTATACGCCGGAAATTATGGTAGTTTCTGGCATATAAGACAACTTTCTAAGCATTCAAATCGGCTCCAAAGTCGGGGGTCGTATTATACGCCAAGTCGTCCAATATGCTGGAAAATACGGTATTTATCATATCTCACACTTAATTACTATATTTTTAGTATATTTCTGAACAAATTCTTATTTTTAAAAAGAATTGATGCAGACTTAATGTCACATGAAGCATCTCTAGATATATTTAGACCATAGAAAAAGAACTCAAAACCAACTTCTCACATATCAAATATAATAATTATATTCATGAGTAATAATTATTCATGAAGATCATGATGTGGCATGATTATTTTAGAAATTCTGAGGAGGATTATTACAAAAGCAATAGCATTTATCAAAGATTTTGTGAAAAAATAAGCTACTATCCATGTTCTATGGACTGGTTTATATAATTTATCAGGATATTTAAAAAGCAATTGCTCTTGTCTATTACAGATAAAGTAGTCCTATTTCTAAGCCAGGGGTGTTAAACTCGCCGCATCACGTGACATGTCACAAAGTATTGTGACTTTTTCCCCTTGCCAGAACTGGGGTGGGTGCGGCTTCTGTGTGATGCATCTGGCCTGCGGGCAGCAGTTTGACACCCCTATTCTAAGCCAAACTACCTGCAACACAATACATGAAATGACATCAGCTTATGTTCTAATCATGATACTCAATGATATGCCCAGCCATTCATTTTTCTACATAAAAGAAAATTCTTGTTACTCAGTGAAGCAAGAGTAGTTAAAGGTGCTTCAGTAACAACTAAATGGCAATGTTATTTCTCTGGGAAGAGCCAGCCTGATATTTTCATTTTACAAGTTATATGAGAGGGTAAAACAACTTTTATCATCAGCTACTGGAGTAATGATTTAATTGCTGGTCTGTGACTGTAAATTCAAACTAAATTTTAGATTTAAAAAATAATTTTCCTTAATTAAATTAAAACATTAAATTAAAACCAGCTTCTTGTGAACAAGTTAAAGTTCTGAAAAGAAAACAAAAGTTAGGCTTCAATATATGAAGAAGATAAAATCATAACTAGCATGCATACAATGGCACTAGAAACCTATTGTTTCACACAATTATGGTTTGAAGTGTGAATAAAGGCTATTTATGTATATATATTCAATTGCTTATGTATGTAGAAAAATACATAATTACTCTAGTTTTTTCTCCCTAGGCTGCTACCTAATTTCTGGGAAAAAATAGTTACCTTTTTTCTTCTATATAAACTTTTCTTGGATAGCTAAAGGAAAGTTGAAGAAAAACTTTTTATCATTGTTTTTAAACAGTCAAAGGCTGAACTGATTGTGACAAACAAAAACTGAACCAAAAAAAAAACCCTAAATGAGTTTAATCAATTTTATTTGATTTATATTAATTTGCTTTTGCTCTATGAAATTGAAGATTAATTACTTAAGGATTTCTCCAGCAGCTCCCAGTTTTCATGTACAGTATATCTTCTTGTCTTTTGCAAGCATAAAATGTTTAGAGTTTTGTAGCAAAGAGAATGGAGTAAAGAGCAAAGAGAATATTGCTGTTATATCAGTCTGACTGATATAACAGCAATATTGACTAATACTGTAGCAATATACAAAGAAGTATAAAATATTTTGCTTACAATTATATCTCTATCAATTTGTAAGTATTGGAGAAATTTATATGAAGTTGCCTCAACTTTATGTTGAAGCCACAGGAGCCTATAATGTTTAATGTGTTTTCTGGAGAATCATATATATTGGATTATGAGACGGAGGAGGAGATGAAAATATTGTTCAAAGAAAGCATGCAAATATTGCACTTTTCAGAAAGTCCTAAGGCTTACTCTTATATTTGTATAATTTTGTACTTGTGATTGTACATAAGGAATTACAAACTAATAATCAGTGTTCAACCCACTACCAAAATAATAATAATAATAATTTTCCTTTTAAAAAAAGAGAAGGAAGGGTATTTGAATAATACTGCAAAAACATTCACATTTTAATAGTATTAGCTGTAACAGATTAAGCATCTTGATGAAAGTTGGCATTTTGTGATCCTAAATTATTTGTCTCCATTTTATGTAAAGATTGAATTCTAATAACCAGGACACTTACATAAGTGCACTTCAAAGCACGAACAAGCAAGCAGCTCAAAGAGACATTTTTGCCGTGGGCAATCACTCTCTAGTGACTCATTCCAAGTGACCTTGTTTGCTCATTAGAAGCTCTAGATGCATCTTACAAATGTCAGGGAACTTTAATTTTCTTTTTTAAAGACAGATGTTATCTGAATGTTGATGTTAATCTTCCCAAGATTTCAAGGCATATCAATCCCTATTTACATTGCTATTGAACTCACATATTCTTCCATTCTTGTGTGAATCTGCATTAGTACATCTTTGCTCAACCTTTTAAATTGTTTTCATGCCTTATATACAATATGCAAATCTAAGCATATTGCATCTTTACACATATTAGGATAAAAGAAAAGAGTCTACCTAGTAGTCAATGAATAACTTACTTACACATTTCACTGGGCATTCTTCTGAATTATCAGCCAATGTAAACATCGCGGTTTGATGTATATAAATCAGACAGAATCATACTGAACTATATACTTTTGTTGTTGATTTGTCAACAACAGGACACTATAAATGGATTACCAATTGCATAAACTCAACATATTTTTCTTTTCTAGTCCTCATTATTGAGTCCTTTTAGTGCTTTCCACCTTTCATTTGCCCAGGCTATTAAAGAATAGCACTTTACTCTGTTCCAGCAATATCTTAAAATATCCTTAAATATTTACAAATATCTTAAAATATCCAACCTAGAACTAAGAATAAAATTCCTAACCATGAGAACAATTAATCAGTGGAACGGCTCAGCTCTGAAAGATGTGGGTACTCCATTACTGGAGGTTTTCAAGAACAGTGTTTTTCCAGAATAGTATAGAGCCTCCTGCTTGGACAGGGACTTAGACTACTGTAGAAGACTTCCAAGGTCCCTTCCAACCTATTATTCCATATGCTATGTTCTATCCTCCATTGCTGTCCACATAACCTTTTTTTAAAGTCCCACTTGTTATTTATGAGACATACATATCGGTATTAAAGATAGAGAGAAATGATACTAGTTATCCACTCCTAATACTCAATTCATCTCAATTAAATCATTCTAATGCAGATCTAGGCTAACAATCTCCACCGATAATAGAAATTATTTTAAGAACTATATGAACATGGCATTTATATTGTTTATTTATAACTGATAGGAAGGGCTCTTTCCTCTGGATTTTTGAAACATTTGTTTCACAGTGTCATCATATTCCAGTACCACATTTCCCAATAAATACTCTTTTAAAATTTGATTTTTAAAGGGTATGCATGAATGGCTGGTATATGTAGGAACAAGAATTTAAGTTTTATATATGTGGTAGGTGGTATCATTAACTTATAGTTCCGCCAACTATCATGGGTCTCCAACAAGTTTACCTCAATTATATTTAGCCTTTGGCTACTACTGCTATTTAGTTGCTTCTGTGAGACTAGGCTGAAGCTGCCATACCTAAAAATAAAGCTGGCACATAAGGAGGGCAAACAAAAGCCAGGGATCTTGTTTAAAAAGGTCTCTTAGAGGAGGTAGTTAAGAAGGAACCAAGTAGCTAAGGAAACAAATGAAAAAATGTCACATGAACCGGACAAAAGAAGTTTGGTCTGGACACATGGAAAACTCCTTTCCTAGTCCCATAAATAGCTACCAGACTTGAAAATCAACAAGGCAAGAGTAGCTGCTAGTCTTCTTAATCAACAGCACGAGGACTTTGGGGTACAATAGGATTCCTAAACCTCACCTACTCTTTGAGTCCTCTTTGGATTCAGACTTAGCAACTTCCATCCTTCTGGCTAGTACCAGCATAGACTAAACTAAATTTAAAAACATATGAAATAATTCCTGGAAACTGAACATTCAGATAAGTTAGGAATCAACAGGCACATAAGCAACATTTACATACCTTTCAAAAGAGACAATAAACTAAAAACAAAACAAAAGCAACAACAAAAAGAGAACATAAGCTCACCTGCAATCAACATCCAGATAAGTAGGGATTAACACCAGGATTGACAAATATCTATGGAGATTCTCAGTCATCCAGGTAATGGTTGTCCCAAAGGTGCTTTTTCATGAGGCAACTGGACTTTCTCCCCCCCCCTTTGAAGATGTTTTGCTTCTCATCCAAGAAGCTTCTTCAGCTCTGATTGGATGGTAGAGAATGGAAGTAGTAGTGCAAATGGGTGTGGAACCTTCTTGGAACTGTTCAATTTTGATATAGATGGCCTCTTTGATCTCTCTCCAAACCAGCGGTCCTCTCTGTCCAAACTGTGGACTTTGCTGTCTTCGAAAGAGTGGCCAAAGAGGCCATCTGTATCAAAATTGAACAGCCTCTCTCAACAGAGGGGGAGGGATACGACATCATCTATCTTCAGTCTACAACACAGTCCTTTCAATAGTTCCAAGAAGGCTCCACACCCATTTGCATCACTCAGGTGACCCTGATGATACAGATAAGCCTCCAGGTGGCATCAATGATTCTCTAAAAGAATGCAAATAACCAGCTGTCTGCAAGAAGTATAAATCCTTCCATTTCCCACCATCCAGTCAGAGCTGAAGAAGCTTCTTGGATAAGAAGCAAAACATCTTCAAAGAGAAAAAGAAAGTCCAGTTGCCTTGTGAAAAAGCATCTTTGGAACAGGACTGCCAAACAATCTAGCAGTAAATAAGGAGGTGCCCTGGTGGAGTGATAGTTAGAATGCAGTATTGCAGACAAACTCTGCCCACAGCCTGGAGTTCATCCTGACAGTGCTCAAAGTTGACTTAGCCCTTCCATCCTTCAGGGTGATAAAATGAGGACCCAGATTGTTGGGGGCAACATACTGACATTGTAAACGGGTCAGAGAGTGCTATATAAAGCATTATGGGGAGGTATATATTGTAAGTCCAAGTGCTATCGCTAAATAATATCCTAATTAAGGAACTGCATGCTCAGATAGACAATCAAGCACTAAGCATCAGCCTAATCAAGGAACTAACTACAGATGCTACTTTTATGCCGCTGTGCCCTTTGAAACAGTTTTTTGCTTTTTGAATCTTGTTTAATCTTATAACTTACTGTAAGCATAACACAAAACTGTGGACAATGGTTGATGAATTCTAGGTTCTCTTGTTTCAGTAGTTTACTTTTTCTCAGATTATTTTGGTTGCCTAACATTTGATGTGGAACTGGTTAATTTGGATAATGTCCAAATCAGTATGACTTCTCCTAGTTCAAGTTATTCTCATATTTGAGATAGGTAGATGATGCCTAAAGGGTCTCTTGTCCAAGAACCTCTACTGATATGTTAGGTACCAGCCGGGATTAGACCACTAGACTATTTCAATCTATATATCAACTATTTCTCTCTTTATTTTCTAGCTATATTTGATTTAAACAATATTTTGAAATAGAATATAGATGGTTTTTTTTAGTGTAAGCTTACTTTTAAGAATGACATTTATATTTGGTTCTATAACTACCCAGTGATTTTTTAAAAAAATAAATTTAAGTTGTAGTATACTCTTTTAATGCTTTACAGTTATATTACACACACACACACACACACACATATACATATACAATTATACATAAGTGTTTAAAAATGGTCATTGACTGTTTTCATTAAGTTGAAACCAATCTCGTCTTCCACTGAAATATCACTTTGAATAGTGTGTACTAGAATAATGTGACTATTTTGTGGGATTCATTATAAAAACTAATTGAGATCTATCTGTATGACAAAATAAATGTAAAAACAACAGAGAGTGATGTCATTCTCTTTTCCATAAATTATCATTCACTGAAATATGTGAAACAGAATATAATGAGATGCAGAAAAAAGGATATTTTCCTGGTGTTTCTACACCTACACGGTAATCCGTGTAACTTTGGGATGGATGAAAATTAAATATAAATAGGAGATTTGCCCTTTCATAAGCAATAATTTTGTTTAATTCATGCTTTTCACTCACATAGGCCTGCAAGGAATAATAAAAAAAGGAATATTATATACTGTTTAATTTGAACATAAACTTGATACAGACAAAAAAATATTTGCCAGGAAACCTCTCTGTGAGTGTCCTTGAAGAACTTTTTGTTTCTCTCTGCGTATCATGCAAACAGAAGGCATTAACACACTTCATTGTGCCATTAATTTAAATTACTTAAGTTTAATAAGTTTTTGTATTGAATTAAACATTCATTACATTTACTAACTGGAACAAGTAAGCATATGGTTTAGTTTAAAGTTAACAAGATTCTTGATGATCACAAGAAGCAATAATGTATCAAAAAGTGAAACACTTTTGTATTTCACATTTGCTTTTATTGAGAAGGAAATTGTTGTAGCTAACCAATAAACCTGTTGAAAAATATGAACAGATTTAGCTCTAGATAGCTTTTTAAGGGCATGTTTTCAAATAAATCAAATTGAGGAAAATGTTATCTTGAATATAAAATTTTAGAATCAAGACAAATAATGTGTCTGAAACTGTCTTAAATATGCAATATCTAATAAAGTTTCTTAATTTTTTAAAAATGTAATTTCTTTCGGATTAAAGTGCTGAATGTACAAAGAGCTGAAAATTACTATATAACATTTAAAAATTATATATACTTTACCGGAGGTGATGCAAGCCAGCCGAACTTTTCTTCCAATTTATTCATATCTCTGTCAAACACATTTAGGAATCTATAGCGAAGAAGTTGATCATCAGCTAAATTAAACTGTCTCCTTGCATAATGGTAGCTTTCATTATTGCCTTGTCTAGGAAAGTCTAACCATTCTGGATGTCCAAATTCATTACCTAATTTTTTTTAAAAAAACATGGAAAGACATGAAAAATAAATGGATCTTTGGTAAATATCCTTGGAAAACTTATTTAAATACAGTTGCAAAACAAAACCTGAAACAATGTTTAAAGCTGTTTTTACAATGTAAATGTTGAAATCTTTAAACTATCTATGATATACTTATTGTAAAAAATTGTGTTCCTAGATACTAAACAGATTGAGCAAGTTTGTACTGCTCAATTACCATGTACTGTTTAAAAATCATAACAACTTAATGACTAGTAATTTTAAAATTATTACTCCACCTTATTTGTCATTATATATTAGATTTTTTGAGGAAAGTAGAATTGAAGTAAATCAATCAAAATGACTTGTTACAAAATATAATGGATTATAGAAGAAATTGAGCAGACCATGACATGTTTGAACTAATTATTACTCTCAAAATCACCCCACCTATTTGATGAAAAAAGGAAAGCAGCATTTGCTCAGATATTGTCTTTTGCAATTCTTTCTAGTTGAAAACTTTAGACCTGTAGGCTAGAAGAGGTAGGGAATGAAATTCCAAATACAGTTGATATAAAAAGGATTTTCAAGAGTGGTTTTGCCTCCTTCCTAGGGCTGAGGAAAAGTGACTGGCCAAGGTAAGCCAGCTGGCTTTATTTCTTAAGGTGGGATTAGAACTCATGGTCTCCCAGTTTGTAGGCTGATGCCTTAATCACTACACCAAATTGACTCTCAAGGGGAGTCATATACTATTATCCTAATCATTGTGTTGACAGGCTACAAAACATGGATTTATATGTTTTTCTGTTAATATATTTTGCATATTTTTTTCAAAATGGTAGCATAGCATCTCTGGCCTTAGCTATAACATGATAATAACTTTAAGTAAACTTTAAGTAAAATGACATCACAACGGTATCATTTGCCACTTGATTGTAGCAAAAACAAAACATTAATTTGTGTTTCCGTTTAGGCCATAGAGTAAATGGTAAAGATTTTATATGATAATTTAATATACTGTACATATTAACAAGAATAAGTCTACATACCTATAGAAAAAACAGTAAAAGGAACAGTAAAATAAAAGGAAACTCTTATGCTCTTATTATGTAGTTCTCTAATGGTAACATGATCATAATCTAAGGTTGTTTTGATTTTGTCTAGAAATTTAATTAGTGTTCTACATTACTGAAACTTTCTCCTAGCTTTCTAAAGTTTCCATTTAGATGCAGATTTGATAACCAGAAAGAAAGGGACAAGGAATTCAGAAATGAATGTTTTTAAAAATGTCCTAGTCACCTGAAGATTAGGGAAGACAATAATAATTTCCATATTTTTTTCCTGTTCTAAGGGTGACAATTTGACAGATATGACGTACTCACGTTGTTCTGCAAAAATATGTGTAGTAAAACTACTACAAATACTGAAGTCTACAATTATTTTTTTGTAATTGAATTCAATACACTGAACCTACAGTAAAATAAGAAAGGTAGTAATATCTTAAGATTTTCAAAGCTAGAACGTGTTTGTTTTATTATAAAAGGATACCTGAGAGGAAATGAATATTTGGAGATTCAATAAAGGATTTATTTTGTGATCAGGTTTTCAAAGTAATAGATTTATTTACAAAATTACAACACAAAATCCACAGAAATAATTGTAATCCAGAACTGAAATGATTTCATATAGTTCTTTGTCAGTACAAAATCAGTACAAAGTACATTTAAATGAAGACTGCTATTAGAATTCTTCAGGTAATTCAAAACTCACTTGCAGTTACCACTGATAACATTATCTAGAAATGTTATCAGCATGCCTACAAAACCTGGGTGATCCACTAGATACTTAATTATACTGCAAAGAAAACTGAAAGAGGTGTCAAAATTGACAAGCAACAAAGCTATCTGGTACCTTCATAGCGTAGTGCAAAAATATGCAAAATAACCCTGTCAAGATATTTTTGGAGACTCCTCCAGACAGACTAGCTCTAAAAAGAGCCATTAAAATTGTCATTTAAAAATATGAAAAAATGAACTTCCCAAATGACAGCTGTCAAGCTTCATGAATAAATTAATATGTATGAGGCAACAGACATGCAAAATTATAATACTTGATTATTTATATCCTTATAGGCTACTATTACACACATACAAACACCAAGTGTAAACATATAAATGACTAAGTTCAAAATTTTATCTAGGTCTATGCTGCACATTTATTATAAAACAGATTAGAGTTGTCTAAAATACCATTATAACAGAAAACACACAGGAAATAAAGCCCCAAAACATAAAATTCACCAGAAGTATATTTCCAAGCAGACATTAATATACTGTACTCCTTTAGAAAATAGGTTTCTTGCGTGAGGAATATATTGACTTTAAAAGAGTATCTTCTTTAGAGTTATATATTTTCATATTAATAATTTGCAACCTATTTATCATGAAGATGCATGATTTCCACTGTAGCTTGTACAAAATGATGAATCTTTATAAATGTTGCTCTGCAAGCATCAAGAATATTCTAAAGGCAGTATCCCAACATCAAAAATGCTAGCCTGATCCAAATTTGCATTAGTTTTTCCTACATCATCAAATAACATGATTGGTCCCCCCCCAAACTAATTATATCTATGTTATCAAATCTGGATCAGGTTCCAAAAGTTAAAAAAAAGTTTCAAATCTACAAATTAATACATGGACAAATAAGTTTATATTTTTTTTTGTATATCTTAAGAGTGTTCGGCATTTTATATACAGAAGGCATGTGGCCCTGGCTCTGTTCCTAAACAATGATTGATCTTCAGTAGTAACAGATATATTCATTTGACACAACATGAACAATGAAATTAATGTGATTGCATGTTTTTACTGAGCAAATTAAATTTACCCAAACATAGCTCACTTAAGTTTTCATTTGAAAATACATTTTCTAAAATTACATCAAGTTGGGTCACAGAACAAATACATATATTTATAGTGTAGATTAGCAAATTACAATAATAAAAAAAATAAATGCTTAATACTAATGTTATAAAAACATGCTTGATCTTATCATTCCTTATTGCTTTTAGAAAAATATATTATAAATTGTCTATTAACCATTTTTTAAAAATGGAATACTAGGAAAGCTACTCCTTAATTTAAGATCTCAATTGAGCCCAGAATTTTTAATTATGTCATTATGGTTGTTAGGTCCATGTGACCCTCTAGCTCAATGATGACTCTCCCCATCGTGGTTGTTAAGCAAATATGCAGGTTAAGTAGATGGGCCAAAAGAGCTGCCTTCTATGTGCAGAAGGAAACTGTAGCACTGGGCTGTGGAAAAGAAGTTAGATCTTCATGATCCCAGACTTTTCTTCAGCTAGCACTGTAGTTCCCCTCTCCTCTTTGTTCAGAAGAGAACTCCAGCACTTGGCTGCCAAAAAGAAGCTCAGATCTTTGTGATTCCAGCTTCTTTTCTCCAGCACAGAGCTGCAGTTCCCTTCCTTTCTGTGTGCACACAGCCAGATTGATTTTGGGGGTGAAATCCACCTGATAGGCAGCCCTTCCACTCTCAAAGATGCTGGATGAAAAGGTCTGTGCTTAAAGTGGGAGTTTTGGCACTTAGCTCTTACAGCAAGTCATTTGCAACCTGGATGACTCCAAATACCCCATGCTGCAAGTGCCCCATGCCAAAATGCCAGCTGGCTTTTACTATGGACACTTTCAGCCAGTATCCTTGGGAGTTACCGGGCTGCTTGGTGGAGAGATTCTGCCTGGTGTGGGGTGAAATCAGTCTAGCAGGCAGCACTTCACTTTCAAAGAAATTGACTGAAAAAGGTCCATCTGATAATAGATCCCGAATCACCTTTATCAGCCAGATCCCAAGAAACCAGAAGGAATCACCAGAGTTTTATTGCAATCATGTGAGCACCAACTATGTCTTCTTTCAGCACTGTCATAATTTTAAATGGTCACTAAACAAATGATTGTTAAGTGAGGACTACCTGAATTCCTGCTTCAGATAGCAGTTGCCTTTTCATATGTTCAAACTGCATTTTTTAAATGTTATGAGAGGTAAAATTAATTGGCTAACACTACCAAACAGTATAAAAGTTATGTAATAAGCCACCACAAATATTACCATTGTAACAATGGCACAATATAAAATAACTGAATTTGTTTATTTATTTATAAAATTCATTTGCTGTCTCTGACTCTGTTCATATTCAGTATGGATACCGTTCAACAATATACTGTATGTTTTTAACCTGATTCTTCTCTAAGCTAAAAATATAGAAAAAATATAATTAAGTTCTACGATTAAAAGCAGGTATGCATAAATCTACCATTTTTGGATAGTGTACAACATTTACCTCCGAAGTTGCTATGAAAATGGACTCCCTTTGGAATAGTAAGGTCAATTGGTGAGAGACAATAACAACATGCAAAACATGAGATCATTGTGAGGAATATACAGATGGTCCTCAACTTACAACAGTTTGTTTAGTGACTATTTGAAGTTTAACAGCACTATTTTTATGAGGTTGCAGCATCCCTATGGTCAAGTGATTTACATTTGGATGTTTGACAGCTGGTTCATATTTATGATGGCTGCAGCATCCCATGTTCACATGATCACCTTTTGCAACCTTCTGGCAAGCAAAGACAATGGGGAAGCCAGATTCACTTAACAACCATGTTATTAATTTAAAAACTTCAGTGATTCATTTAACAAATGTACTAAGAAGAGTCGTAAAATGGAGCAAAACTCACTTTACAAATTTCTCACTTAACATAATTTTGGGCTCAATTGTGGTTGTAAGTTGAGAACTACCTGTAGTTAATTAGTACAGAACTACTGATTTTGGAATTTTAAAAATGAAACAAATTGTTATGTAATTTGATAATAACATAGGGAGAAAAAAGATCCAATTTCACCTTAAGCTTTTTTTTTTAATTAAAACAATTTTAAAATACAGTAATGAGTATATTAATTCTATTTCTACTACTATTACCAAGTGACTACTCTTTATGGATAGTCAGTACTGTGTAAAACTAAATATGTGGATTAGAACCAACCGCTGGATAGAGAAAAAGATGAGAAGACTGGAAAATGCTCAATGGTACTGGAGTAAATAATTAGTGATTACATATGATTCTGACTATGAAAAAGTCACATTTTGTTTCATTAGACTTACTTACATTGTATATTCCAAAATATCAAGACACTATTTAGAACACTCACAGTTGAAATGAAAAGTTGGACCTCTATAAAAAAAATCCTCTTCTGAACATAAATCTGAGATCATAAATTGATATCAAAATCTAGGCAGGATGCCTATCCTGAAAGGTTCTTTGTGCTTGAGATAAATAGCTTTGTATCCTTCAGTATGTATTATAAACAAAGTCAGTAATACATACAAAAGCAAAGAATAAACTTATTATAAAGACTCATTTCAGGGCTTCAAAAAATGCTTACAGGTAGTAAATGTGTTTCATTGCATATTGTTTTTCCCAATATGAGTAGGTTCAGAAAAGTTGATTTATAAAACATAGCTTTTAAAGTACACCATAATTATATAAACTGATATTTTGAATAAAATTTCTAGCAATCAACTTAACTACATAAGACATTATATATTCTAGATTGTTACATATTTAATGGCTCATTGAACAACAAAATGATCATTATTTCCTTTTCAAAAAATACAAACTGCAATTTCAAGAAATAAAAAGCAGGGAGAAGTACTCAGATATGAAACTATGATATGTGTAATACACAATAACAGAAAAAAATACTCCTTTAAAATTGGATATGTGTGATGAAAGTAATGAATTAGCACTTTATGCCAGGAAAATAAAATTGTTCAATTCATCTCCCAGTTCACTTTCCTCTATTTACTTTGTTCTTTAAATTTGATCACTTTGCAGAGCTGAACTGTCACTAGTACAATAAGAAAAACACAATAAAATGTCAAAATATTTACAAATAATGATCCTCTTTACTTTCTTCAAACTCTGTCCATAATCAGCATGGTACTGCATCACATACTTTATTTTGTTGTTTTTAACCATTTAATTGTCTCCAACTCTTGGTAACTTTATAGGCAAGTGGTCTCCATGCTATCCTGTCAAGCACAGCTTCTTTCAATTGATAGATGTTCAATTTTGCATCAGATTTGAAGTTATCAAGCCAGCATGTTCTTTGCTTGCCCCTTCTTCTTTGTCCACTAACCATTTCTAGCATAATTTAGCTTATCAGTTATGACATGCTTTCTTGATTTTTCTTTAGTTTGAATTATGACCAAAAAGACCATTCTTGTTATTTTTTACTCTCATAGCAAAACATATTGATCTTTAGTATCACTAACCCTATCCTTGCAGTTTTCATTCTGTTATATGATCCTGTATGCCTTTTTAAAAAAAAACAACTTTTTTTTGTTTCTTAATTTAGAAAGAGTATTGCTCACTCTAGAGAACAACTTATGCCAACAAAATATTTTTGATATATTGACTAAGTTGTTTTTTCTAGACTAGTCAGTTGATTTAAATACCATTCATAACAGTCTCTTTGGGGATCATCTGGCTGTGCTGAGATTGAAAGGCAAGGTATTTTCAAAAACTGTATTTCCCCAACTGGTATCAAACATAGTTTTCAAGAATTTGGTTCCCATCTATTACACAGGTATATAAAATTAAACTTCTGCCACAATAAAATCAAAGTTGTCCTTAGCAGCATTCCAATATTAATCAAGTAAGCAACTGGAACAAATAGTGAAAATGCTTTCTTGTAATCATCTAGTACAAGTTTCATTTAAAAGGCAACAACAAGTCATTTTACTGCCATCTTGAGAACAATTATTTCAAGTTATTTAACTGAATAGCATTAGTACCCCAACATATATCACATGCATTATCTGAATGACTACAAAATAGTGACTACCTTCCCCAAAAAGGTTTGGGCAATCAGACTGTTTTTACTAGGAAAAAGAGAGATAAAACTCATAAATTACTACTTATCTACTTGAGTAGTTGAGATGCAACATACTTTGTGAGGATAAATATATTTTTCTGCCTAATCTGCAACTAGCCATATAGAAATTTATTCTTGAAGCTGATAAGAAGTCACAGGACCTAAGAATGAATTACACAATATAAGAAAACAAAAAATAAAACAATTATTGCTTTATGTTTATATAAATTAATATTTTTAGACAGGTAGAAGGCAGAAGAAATGCCTTCAGTTTATAACTTTGTTTCTGAAGAACTTGTTTATCTCTGACAGACTACAGAATAGTCTGAATGTTGTGCTTTTTTCAGCACAAATTTTAATATAAGCAGTGCCAGAAATAGCAGAAAAAGTCAAGCACATACAATATGTTCAGTTTCATAACCAAATATAGTTAGCCAACATGAAGGAGAATAATGAGATTACTAGGTTACTAGTTATTTTTATAAGTTATTAATATTAGCCCACATATTGTTCTGGATAAAATATAATTTAATACATCTATTTCAAGTTTGACACTATTATACTTATCCAGTCATAAAAAGAGAACATTTTTATTTACCTACTATAAAGACAAAGATTCCAGAGCCATATGCCTTTGGTAAGAGAGTTACAAAAATCTCTAAATTAATTTGCCTCATATTTGTATAAACTAATAAAATATTATAATAGATCAGTAATTATTCAATAGACAATTCACAAGGCTCTTTCAAGATCAATTATGCAGCATAATCAACCGTCTATGAATTATAATCATACTTAGGTTGTTACTATGTCCTCAAATGGAAGCAAGATCCATGGAAATCATCATTATACATGTAGAAGATCATAGTATGCTTTAGGCTTTAAGTTCAATAAAATGTCCAATTTGTAAAAAGAAAATGTCATCACAAGGTGTACTATGCTGAAGGAAATAAGAAGGTTAAATATCGCAGATGACTTACCCATGAAATTGAGGTAGCCTTCTCCTCCAAGAGAATGAGTAATGAGTCGTATCATTTTATGAAGCTGTATTCCTCGATCAATAACCGGTGTGAAAGGTGACAGAACACTCATATAGTTATACATCTCTGCATCCATCAGCCAAAAAGCCAAAGTCTTATCACCAACAAGGGCCTTAGTAAATAAATAAATGAGACAGGGAAAAATCTTTTTATGATATTAATGTTTTATAGGACATAAATTAAAGACATCTTATAGTATATGGTATGCTATATTTATCGGTAATATATATGTTTTTACTTTGAATTCTCACACTAGAGAGATATAATTGTTGTCTTCTATTATGCCCTCACTCATTACCTCTTCCTGTCCAAAGGGGTACTTTTTCATTCTATAGTCACATGATTTTCATCCATTCTTGTTAGAACAGTTTGTGTCAATTTTTTTTTTTTTTACAATCAGTAAGGCACACTTGCTTGGCAAAGAGTCTCATTAAATGTCTTTGCTCTATTCTCTGCTCTGCTTGGCAAAGTTTTAAAAAAAGCTGGTTGCAGCCTTGTTTGAGGCACCTCTGATTCACGTAACCTTATTTGAAACATTCATCTGATTTCTTATTTCTGAAGAATTATTGCCTTCTGCTTGTGTAAGAAACATGACACTTTGATTGTTGGACTGGCTGATGAACCTTGCTTGGCTCTCTGAACATTGAACTGAATATTGAATCTTAACTACTGTTTTGCATGTTTCTGTGAAATATAGATTCATAGAATTATAGAACTGGATGGGATCTTGTAGGTCTTATCGTATGAAACTACTCAGGCAAGTTTTATCTCAAGAGATTTTGGGTTTGAAATCAAACTCTAATTTCTGTTCCTTTGTTTCTCTGTTTAGCCATTAATAAATTGCTTACCATTTTCTAACAACTCTGTTTATGTATGCATGTATGTATTTCTCTGTATATAAAATCAGGAATAGGAGAGTCTGAACCACATAAGAGCTAAAGCTAACTATAATGGTTGCATGTATCTTCTGAGTTCTATGGAGGATGAAATCAATCATATACTGCTTCCTGGTGATCAATAATGGTCAAAAGCAAGGAAGTAAGTTATTGATGAAAATTAATATTTGGGGATATTGAGTATTTGAGGACAATGAAATGGGTTCATTGGGTTCATCTCAGTATTGTCCCATTGAGTTAGTATTCATAATTCCTTAATAGCATTTTTTGGAAGAATAATATGGACTAAAATTGACTTTGAACTACATATAAATAATCTGGAGTATATTATTATTTGAAGAATTATATATCTGTCAAGCACGGGGCATAGAAAAACATATAACTCTTTTATAATAAAAAAACAACAGAGTGTCATTCCAGATTTTCAGTTTCTTTTTTTTCTCTTTTATCTTTTAAAGATGGATGGCCGCAATCTAATTCTAGTTGTTGTGGAAATGAACTGCTAAGTTGTTACAGTACCTGATCATGACTCTCTGCGTAGGCAATGTACTTCTCTCCATGTCGCCTGTTTGTTAAAGTAAACACAATGTTTCCCATGTCCCAGTCCTCATCCTTACGCTCCTTAATTATCTGAAAATGAACATGAATAATTTTGAATTATTTTTTTATCATTATTTTTCAATTTATCCTATTAAACTGTTCATGAGCAATGTCTCTTTCATAAATTTTGAAAGGTTAAGTTACTGTCTGTGGGATGTGATTCTGATCCACCTTCACATTATAGCACAACTAATATAGCACACAACAATTAACAATTCTAATGACTTATCTTGGTTTATCTTGAAAGAATTCAAACAAAGTCAGACCTAAATGTTTGAATAGGAAGTTTTTAGGAAATTGCAAGGCTGTAAACTAAAATCAAAAGTAAAAAAAATATAAACCAAAAAGAAAAAAAGAAAGAAAGGAAGGAAGGAAGGAAGGAAGGAAGGAAGGAAGAAAGAAAGAAAGAAAGAAAGAAAGAAAGAAAGAAAGAAAGAAAGAAAGAAAGAAAGAAAGAAAGAAAGAAAGAAAATTATGCCTCTAACATAGCCAAGAAAATAACAAGGACTTTTTCATGAAGTTACCAGTAAAGTTGTGCTTGCCTTGAGAAAGTTTACCTTTTAATATACATAATTGAAGTAAAGCATTATTTTTCTTACAAAATGTCTGCCAACATCTTATTAACTATGCATATCTTAAATTCATTTTCTTTCTATTTCTGTAAAACAGTAGGGGCTATATGCCATCACTTTTATGGCTGATTAAACACCAATTTCACCACTCTATCTGCCTGTTTCTTATTATGCAATGCTGCATGATCCTTTGATTAATGTATTAGCTCTAATTGAAATAAGGTAAATTATTTCTGTGTATTTAATTTTATGCCATACAATATAGGAAGAGTTGATCAACAGGAGGGCTGATTTATCACCAGCTTATCAGTACTCAGGGGCCAGGGCTTGGCAGCAAAAGGAAATAATAGACAATGACTTAGCCAGCCATCAACATCCTAATCAACAACTAAAAAGCCACACACAACTAGGCATCATATAAATATGACACATAGATTAGCCCACAACACATACTCTGCTAGAAAGAAGTGCCCTGAGGATGGATTCTAGCATGAGTCTGAAAACTTGGAAGAGTAAACTTCTGGTCCTGGTGACTGACCCCGATTGGATCTTGCAACATTATTCTAGGACACATATATATGCCTCCATTCAATATAGGAAGAGTTGTGCAAATTAAAAAAATAACAATAAATACCACAATGAAGTAATTGTTAAGCTTGAAGTTCGCTTTGCTGGTGCAATTATTATTGCTTCTTACCTTGCCAATGAACTTGGGGGGAGGATGGGGAAATGGAATGCTGGCTCAAAGATAAAGAAGGCAGACCATGAGATTCAAGAATGAGGTACCAGGTGTTAACAACGTTTTCTCATAACAATATACTTGCTCCTAATTGGGCAATGTGACCTGTTCAGGGATGGGGGTTTGCCAGAGCTGCTTTAATGTCATGGTTCCAACTGATGAACCAAACCAAGCAAATATCCTCAAAAGCTAGCACCCCTTAAGTAGAGAAATGAGAAAGAAGAAATGCTTTCATGTGTGCCAAAATGGTGTACTCAATAAAGTTTTACATTAAGACACTGGAATGCCTTGAAGATGTTTGGTTGGGTTCATCAGTTGGAACCATGACAGTAATCTGATATTACAGTGTCAAAATGATGGCAGAGAATTTTAGATATTGCTAATTATGCATTTAACTTTACTGTGCAAAGTCACTTATGCATTGATCACCTCCTGTGTGGCCTACTGCCCTAGTAGTCCTTAATGGAATTGCATCTACATGGGTACCCCAAAGTATTTAGACTAGGGGATAGAAGGGGAACTCACAAATTTGCAGGTGATAACAAGCTGCCAGGAATAGTCAACCTTAAGATCCAGAAGGATCTTCACACACACACACACACACACACACACACACACACACGTTGAGATTCTAGAAAGAGTGCAGAGAAGAGCAACAAAGATGATTAGGGGATTGAAGGCTAAAATGTATGAAAGTTGCAGTAATTGGGTATGTCTAGTTTAATGAAAAGAAGGACTAAAGGTGACATGATAGCAGTGTCCCCTATCTAAGGAGCTGCCACAAAGAAGAAGGGGTCAACCTATTTTTCAAAGCACCAGAAGGCAAGACAAGAAACAATGGATGGAAACTAATCAAGGAGAGAAGCAACCTAGAGCTAAGGAGAAATTTCCTGACAGTTAGAACTATAAATCAGTGGAATGACTTGCCTCCAGAGGTTGTGGGTGCTCCATCACTGGAGGTTTTTAAGAAGGATTGGACAACCATTTCCCTGAAATGATATAGGGTTTCCTGCTTGAGCAGGGGGCTGGACTAGAACAGAGGTCCCCAACCTTTTGGGCACCAGGGACTGGTTACATGGAGAGAGATTTTTCTGTGGACCGGAGAGGGCATGGTTTTGTGTGCTGCTGCATCCTGCAGATGGGGCATTGCTTATTTACGTGGCCCAGTTGCTGGTATGCTGTGGCCCGGTACTGGTCCACAGACCGGGGGTTGGGGACCCCTGGACTAGAAGATCTCCAAGGTCCCTTTTAACTCTGTTATTCTTTTATTCTTGAATAACTGGAAGCCATGATTAGTCAAGAATACAAAGATGATGAAAGAATTTGAATGTGGGACAGATAGTTTCTTGGCTAGTTAGACAGAGAAAGCTGAACTGTCTTAATATACTTGGGTGGAACCATAGTGCCAGCAAATTCTGTGCCAAAATGGGAGTTAAATTGTTAAATGTAGTGAGTATTACAGATTTTTGATGGAAATTGAATAATCAGCGAGTTATGATTTTTACAAATATAAACTGTGAACTAAGATATGGAAATAGATAATAGGAATGGAGTTATTCTGTATGTTAAAGAAAGCACAAAATCCTATAAAATAGAAACCACATCACTGAACACAATGAGCATCATTGTGAATGCTCATGTTAATCCCAAGCAGCAATCAGATTTTCTATTAAAACCAAAACGTAAAAAAAGAAATTCTATCCAAATGAAGACAAACATAGAATATAAATTCTGCTAAAATATGAAATATGTTAATTAAAAATGCAAATCAAGACTGGAAAGGACACATGGCAAATACAAACACACCTTCCCAATCTTCAGTTTTAATTACTAAAGGAAACAAAACTTTATATTTTTTCTGTTTTATCATCCCATAGTACTGACATGTACTATATATCTTTAATTTACAGTATCCTGTATGAATCATATAGGATTTATTTATTGAGAAGTAATATGACAATTTGCTTATGTCACATCTGACTTTTATTATTTTTATTTTTTCCTTTTTTACCCTTTAAAATTATTTTATAAACAATAGTATCTATATCTCATGTAATTTTGAAGAAATTAAATGACAGACAAACAAATAAGAGTTCGTGCATATTCTGGAAAAAAAACAATGCCAAAACTTTAAGCTGCATCTAACATAAAGAGAAGAAAGACAAATATTTCTTTTTCCACTATTCTGCAAGAATTAGTTGATAATAAACCCAAACATCAGCTAATATAATGAAGACATATTACATTATGAAAATTTTTGTCCTGTGGTTTATGGTTTATATATTTACAATTGCACAAGAATGAGAGAGTCTTTTTACAATTAATAGAATATCTGTACTAGCAATATGCCTTTGATGCCATCTGATAACACTTTTAGAATATGAAAAAAAAAATTAGCTAATAATAGGGAAAATATACCTTGAAGCAACATTAATAAATATTCTGTATACAGGGAAATAGATCAAATTTGTTTCAAAAGTATGTTTTTAAAGACCTAAAAATGAATTGTGCTCTAGAATAATATACATATTTCAAAATATACATAACTGCATATTTCACAAGGATGAAATATATTAATGTTTTAATACACTCTTAAATATAGGCCTGACTCAAGATATTTTCAATTATTATGTTAAGCTTATAAGCATAGATCTGTACAAAGGTGCAATGTATTAATTTATAGTAATGCTTCTGAATTTTTTTTCCAACATTCAATTATTTCTTTTTTGCTTTTGTTCCTAAAGAAATTAAAAATATTTGGTCTTAGTCTTTATCACTAGAGTGCGACATTGGCAAGCTTTTCGTACAAACATGTTTAGCAATAGTTAAGGCACTAGATTCATAAATATGCAATTAATGTATTATAAAATCATTGTACAATTTCATGTGCATAACAGATACATTTTTAATCTCCATTTTGTTAGGAGTTAAGCTTGCTGTAAGGATTATCAAAATTCTGTCCACAAAACCACAAAAATAAAATCCAAACAATCAAATATAATTGTAGAATAATTAGTCATATGTTACATTGAACTTTGGAGAGACAAAGCTTAGTATCCTATGCAAGCATAACTTTCTGGAGATTTCAGATTATTTTTCAGACTACTGGCTGAGAATGATAGGAGCTGAAATTCCAATACACGGGGGAGTTTTAATTAGATGCTGAAAACACAAATTGGGAAAATTTGGCTAAATAAATATAAGGCATTTTGTCCTTTCTTTGGTAAAAAATTAGAACAGAGAATAGGAGCGAGTGAGTAATTATGACAACATTTTGCGTCTCTAAATTATGGAAACCCAGTTCACATGTGTCATATTATAATTACTTGATATTATTAATTACATGTGTGGGAAAATGGGGCCTAACAGTTACGTAAGATGCTGGGCTGTCAAGACCCAAACACCACAGGATGGAATGAGTTCCCATTACTTGCCCCAGCTCCTGCCAACCTAGCAGTTTGAAAGTATGCAAATATAATAGATAAATAAGTACCACTTTGGTGGGAAGGTAACATTATTCCATGCGCCTCAACATATAGTCCTGCTGGTCACATAACCATGAAAGTATCTCTGGACAATGCTGGTTCCCTTGGCTAAGACACAGAGAGGAGCACTGCCTCCTAGAGTCAAGATATGATTGGGCAGGAGAAACCTTTACATTTACTTTTACCAAGGGAAGCATGAGTAAAGAATGTGGCAAAGTGTGGAAGGATCTATTCTCACCTGAATCCATTTGTCAGGAATTGCCATGGCCATCCGGTAATCAAATCCACATCCTCCTTCAATTATTGGACAACAAAGTGCTGGCATTCCAGACACATCCTGAAATATCATAAAATAAGAACTGAAAATAAGGACAGAGATCCACCAGAATAATTACTATTCAATCATAAATAATGAAAATATTTTCAATCTCATTCAATATTAAAGAATCACAATTCATTAATCTGCAATTCCTATGGCATAAATATTATGAAAGCAAGTTGTTTTCTATTCTTATTTTTCTCATGCTGCAAAATGCTGTGAATATTAGCCGGTACATATATGTACTTGAAATACATACTAATGAAAAACAATGATTTGATGTCTATGCAGTATTTATTAGTACTTGCTAATAATTAATTGCATACTAGTATAAGATAAGTAGATTTGGAAGGTCTAGGACAACTCACCCTAGCCGACTCTCCCCAGCATCTTGCCCCGGTTGATTCACCCCGGAACAATTCACCCTGGCACAATTCAATGCAGGATAACTCAAGAAAGGGACAAATTAATTGCAGCAGGCCTTATCTTGCTTTAGATTTGAACCTTCTCAAGTTAGAAGTCCTTGAGGCTGGGGTGAATTCTACTTGTCTCTCTCTTGAGTTACCGCCATTGAATTGTCCTGTGGCAAGTTGGCTACAGCAATTTGTTCCGCAGTGAGTTGGCTGCAGTGAATTGGCTGGGGTGAGTTGACCACAGTGAGTAGTTCCATTCCAGATTTGGAAATTTTAACAATACTGTTACTTATCTTTTTTTTTTCAATGAATAGGAAATTGGATCAGATCGCTTTTGTTAAAAATACTCACAGCAGTTTTAAAAAATTATGTAAATTATGATTCAAACCTTTAAGGAATAGTATTATAACCAATCCTGCCCTAGACAATATGTGTTCATTTTCTTTAGCATTCACTCCACTATCATTGCATGTAAGATCAAATTCATGCTAGCCTCTTGTAATTTAGAAGGATATCAATAGTTCTTCTCTCTCAATTTATTTCTGCCACAAGCAAGTGAATCAATTCCACATTTTGTACAGAGGCTCCCACCCAAAAATAAAATTGAAGTAATTTTCAGTTTAACTAGAATAAATTGAAGCAACATCTTGTTTAACAAAAATGGATATGAGAAAATGCAAAAAGAGTTAAGGTAGGAATTATGGCTCTCTGGATGATGGACTCATTTTGTTTGAAAAGAACCTCAAAATCAATAAAACAATTTTAAGTTTAATACATCCCATAGTTGTTTCATTTCACCACTTTTGTTTAAAATGCACTGTAATTACTTCTTCAAAACTAAGACCAGTACAATATTAAAGAGTTAAAAATGCTAAATATTAAGAGGTAAAAATGTATAAAGATTTCTAGAAATACTGTTTACTTATAGTAATAGCAATTCTAGCAATATCTTCTAAAAATAAATTTGGCAAATATATTTTTTCTAATTTATTGACAAAGAATTAAACTTACCAAAAAATAGTCATAATGAATTTGAAATAGGAGGAACATAAGATCCTCATAAAGGTTGTAGTTACAAAGACAAATGCATAAGAAAATTAAGCTGCTTTGGCAGTATAGTGAGTTTCTAAAGTCATAAATACATTATAGAAAAGTCATGAGAAAGTTCATTGTTTAAAAGAACTATAATTCTAAAGATCTCTATGGAGAGTCTCAGTCATCCAGGTCATGGTGGTCCCAAATGTGCTTTTTCAAAAGGTAACTGGTAAAGATAACTTTGTTTTTCATTGAAGTCATCTTACTTCTTATGCAAGAAGCTTCTTCAGCTCTGTCAGAAACTGAAAAAGCACCTTTGGGACAATTCTAATGATCATATTATAGTTAGGCTGCATCTTCGAAATACTTGTTGATGCATATCTAAACTCAGTGGCATTTGTCTTGGAATACACATGTACAGGAATATACTTTAGAGCATATATATAATTTTGCAACTGAAACCAGTAAAATATTTAACAAATATTTAACAAATCCTGCATCATGCTTAAGGATTAATAAACTTAAATATAGCTGTAATTGAATAATGATTCATTCATTCAAATAAATAAGTCAAAGTAATTTTGTTAATGTAATCTAAGATTTACCTCTGCTATAGTTATACATTCTGGATGCAAAATATGTATCATGTAGTTTGCCATCATTAGGTAGGCCACCGCATCTTCATCAACATGCATACCAAAATATTCATTGTAATCTCCACTAAAGCCTTCACCTAATATGATAAATAATAACAGTGTCAAGTGCCATAAGTGCAAGTTATAGATTTACTGTAGGTTTTTCAGTTGAAACTCCTAATTATTTGAATTGTGGTATGGTCACTGATATACAAATTAAACTTACCAATCCCATGATGGTGATATAGCATAGATGATACCCCATCAAATCGAAACCCATCAAAGGCATACTCTTCTATCCACCATCTTAAATTGGAGAGAAGAAATCTCAGGACTTCCCAGCTGAAATATAAATAACATATCCCAAGTATTAATGTACAATATTAATCTACTCCTAGTGTTTCTATAATTTTTTTTTTTGGTGTTAAAAATATTCACACACACACAGACGTCATACCTTACTATAAATTACTGAACAACTGAACAAAGAAAAATCAATGTGTATGGATTTATTTCTTTCCAAACAACATCCTACATAGATCTTCCTTCAAAGATCTTTCTTCAGATACAGACCTTTTGGGATTAAATTAAAAGAAGTATGCAGATTTAAAATAGTAATCTGAGGATTTGAAAACTATGGATAGTACAAAATATTTTCAAATTTCTGAAGTTGCTATCACTACAATGTTATATCGGAAAAACTATTTAAAAAAAGATTATGGGTAACTTATTTCAAATATTTATTTCTCAAAATAATTCAGGAAATTACATGAATAAAAAGTCAGCAAATATATTTTCTAATGTTTGCTGAAAATATATATAATTCATAAATACATAGACATTTAACATACAAAATATATTGTATATTTTTACAAAATTAAGACAAATTAAGACAAAAAAGATGATATTCTTGTGAATTGAACAAGTCTATGGAGAACATATTTTCATATGTATTAGAACTCTCTCATTTGTACAAAAAAAAAATGTTGAACTGAAACCAAAATATATTCTGCAAAACCTAAACTATACTCCCGTCTTAAAGTCAAACTTTATGATACCAAACCAAATCCAGAAAGTATGCCATTTTAGTACCTTTCTTGATAAAGAAAATACAGAGTCCAAGAAAGATCTCTATGAAAATAAATCATATGTTGAAAAATAAAAATTGAATCCTTTTCTAGAATGCATAAGAAAAGCCAGAACTATTAGTAGTAATGTTATATTTTTTGTTTCTTCCTTTTGATATGTGTGCATAATATAGTTCTTCTTTCCTTAAACATAACAGTTCTTTTTAGAAAACAGATCTGGAAATCATAATTGGTACATGGGTAGCAGAATAACAAACACATTATTTTAAATTCATGGTTGTACGCTTGAACAAACTACTCAGACAGATTTCCCAATAGCCAACAGTTAAAATTTCAGTTCTCTAATATTATACCATGAATATGAAGAATTGTATTTCTATAGGCAGACAGTTGTTGGACCCTATATTCAAAGTCTATATGGACAAATTTGTATGTATAATATCTAGAGATTCAGGGGATTAGGCAATACATTTTTTTAAGATGCCACACAACAACTGTATCAGAAGTCTGAACATTTTCCCAAGAGCTCCAGCAGCATTTTTATCAATAGGAAATATGGTGACATTTACAAATTAATATTAAAATATTGAGAAAAATGGTTTTAAATGCCAGGACACTCTTTACCTATTTTGTAGTACAAAAATAATATCGGGAGGATGAGCATAAATTTTCAAAAGAAGAGTAAATATAGTATTCTACCTGGGATGGGTGTAGAACACAGAACTACCCTAAGAAGCTAGAGTTATGTTTATGAATTTGGAAGTGACTTGGAAACTAGGAACAAGTCAGGTGAAATAATGCATATAATATCAATCCTGATAAATGATCTTATCTGCAAAATCTCCAACAGGAATTTGATAGAACCTGCCTTTCCCATTCAAGACTATAGGTTCTTAAAATGGTATAGAATCCAGGCTTCCACTAACAATTGTGAGTGTATGTGTTTATTAGTGCAATAACTGAACCATTACCATGTTATTTACACTTGTGCAAAGTATATGCTAGGAAGTAATTCTAATATTCCACTCATGTTTTTTATAATTTTTATGTATTGTTCCTTTTGCTTTTTTCTTTGTTATTATTTCAAAAGCAATAAAAATATGTATACACACACATACATATACTTGCACATTCAAACACACACAGACACACACACGAGAGAGAGAGAGAGAGAGAGAGAGAGAGAGAGAGAGAGAGAGAGAGAGAGAGAGAGAGAGAGAGAGAGAGAGAGAGAGAGAGAGAGATGAGAGAGATTGACTTAGCAATCAAGCTACGGCAAATCTCTGCTGAATATTGAAAACCATGTGGTCTGTAGGCTGACCTACAAGAAAAACTAAATAAAACAAAACAAACCCTAAAAGAAACCAAACCATTTCAATTATAATCTAATTAAGAAAGAATGTATATATTTCTAATTTTACAATATAGAATGTTAAAGACAAGAAAGGAGATATAATGGAGTTCTTTTACCTCAGAAAGTGAATGTTGTAAAAAGGGTTGAAAAAAAAAAGCATAGAACAGAACAAGAAATGTGATATAGTTTAGCCTTCTGTACTAATGATCTTGTTGATGCTGATACTATGAGCGTTAATATATAGTATAAACAATGAAGCCATGAAGGTCATTAGCCAATGTTATACTATGTACAACTCTTTAGAGGACGTCCAACCTTTATAGGATTCAATTTAAAATACTCCTAATTTTGGCCAAATCCATTTTTACCAATCTTTGTGAGATGCTACACGTATCATGTCAACTGCTCATCTTCCAGCTAACTCAGACCATGATCATAAAGTTCTGCCACCAACACCATTTATATTTCTAGTTACTGATTTCCCTTATTTTATGTAATTATTATTCCCTTACTTGTTCTCTTTTATAAAATTGAAATTGATCAGATCACCTGAAGCTCTAGACTGCTGAAATTATGAGTATCTGGCTCTTCTTCACAATATCATTTGACTTTACATGCATCAATAGGAATCATCAGTGGGAATTTTAGAATAGAATAGAGCTGGAAGGGACCTTGGTCTTCTAGTTGTGGAGTTGTGACTCCTTCACTGCTATTGGCTGTTGCTGGGCTGCTACTGCAGTCATTCTGTGACAATTTCCCAGCCCTCACAATCCCTCACTCTTCCCCCATTCAGCAGCAGCCACTTAGCTCCCCAGTGATCAAGGAAGGAAAGAAAGGAACAGGGAAGGAAGGAACTCTCCCCAAGTAGCCTTCAAGGCCCATGTCATACTCCTCATGGTTCCTTATCTTAGTTGCCTCACATGCATCTTCCCCAATCTGCACTACAGCCAGCATATCTTTTGCAATTCTTGCAGCACATATTGCATACCACATGCATCATCTGATTCACACCAGTCCCTGGTATACCTTCCATAACCAGTGCAGGAACTCTTGTGTACCCCACACATGCTTCCTGACCTGTGCCACTGCTTGCATGCCTTTTCCAACCCATGTAGCCTCTCTTGCGTACTCCCACATATCTTCCCCCACCCCATCCTCTTCCACCCTCACTTAGCAGTAGCCATTTACTTTTCAACTATAATTTGGTTTTCTCATTAGGCCAGTTTCTACCTGAAAATATCTCACAAGCAAATTAAATGGGATAGCAACGTGGTAGGAATTGGAGGGAGGGAGGGAGGGAGGGGGAGGGAAGGGGGGAGGGAATGAATGAATGAAGGAAGGAAGAAGGGATTTCTTATTACTGCCAACTTCCCACAAGGAAAATCAATAGGGAAGCCTGCAGGAAATCTGAAGTCGCCCTCACTCCCACTGCTTTTTTCCCGCCCATGGATATTTTGTAGGTTTAATAAGGAAATATAACTGAAATAATGATACAACAAAATAATGGTTGTTTAGTGATCTCTAAAATAGTGTTAACCTCATATTTACCATTTCTATCCCCTGACCTACAATTTTGTATTTGGTTTGTATTTGAAATTCCTCTCTGATGATAAAATTAATAGATGCTTGGATTTTCTTTCCCGCTTTCCTGTTTTTTAGTTTAAAAAATGAATAAGTTAATGACTTTACCTTCTTTTTCTCTCACCACATTTTCAGCAAATAAAAAAACCTCCACTTTCTTGGATATACAATTCACAGTGGAGGAAGAAACAACTAGACAATTGCCATTTTTAGACATGTTTATCAACAGACGAGAAGATGGAAGCCTAGAAACCAAGCTGCATTGCAAGGCTACCAACACTCCATGCATTCTGAGCTTCAAGAGTAACCACTCACTGTCACATGAAAAGAGTTGCATCAGAATACCATATAGCAGAGTGAGAACATATGTAGTACCCAGCAAGCAAAGCAGCTGGAGAGCAGGTTCCTACATGAATAATTCAGGCAGAATGGGTACCCACAAGATGCTTGCACAATATGCAGGGGAGAGAAAGGAAGAAAGAAGGTACAAGACAACTATATGGCACAACCTGTCATATTTTAAGAACATTTCAGAAGCAGTATAACAAAACTTCGGGATCTGCAAGTGGGCATCACCCACTGTCCAGAGGCTATCATGTGAGAACAAATCATGCACTACAAAGATTATTTGGAGGTGGGAGAAACTTTGAATGTAAATTATCAGATTTCCTGCATGGATTGCCCCTATGACTATGTAGGACAAACAGAGAGGAAGCTAACCACCAGATTGTGAGAACACAAGTGAGAGGTTAGACAGAGAGATCCAAACTCATTGATAGCCTCACACTGCAATGAATAAGAACATGGATTCAATTTTTCAACTACTATGATTGTTGGCCAAGCAGGGACAAGATAGCCAGAAAAATGATTGAAGCCTGGGAAACAGGTGTCTTGTCAGTCAATAGGAGTGCTATTTACCAACAGCCTACTAGGTACTTAGGAGTTGAGCATGCAGTGGCACAAGGAAACAACAATATTGACTTCATAGCCAGCCATCAACAACCTAACTAACAACTAAAAGCTACACACAATCAGGCACAAATACAACATTTAGAACATCCCAGTTCACTTATTCTGGAGAGAGAGACAAGTTCTTTGAGGACAGACTCCAGCATGAACTGAAAGTTTGGAAGAATAAACCTTTTGTCCCGATGATTGATTCAGATTGGATCCTGCAGCTTTATCCTGGGACATTTAGCTTCATTCACAAATTGGTCTAGATGGTTTTGCTAGATGTTAAAAAAAGAGTCCTTTCTTTCATATATTTTGAGTGACCACTTAATGAGTTTTAAAGTATACCAATAAAAATGTATGAAAACTAACAATTACTTTTAGTGTCCTTCATAAATATCCCAGTATATAGCGTAATTATAATCTCATCCCCCCCAGCATAGTTACATTTTAAAGATTTTGCACACAGCTGTGTTTGAATGTAGATAATAAAAGAAACAGAATTCTTCAAGGGAAATTATATGTTATTTGAAAATTTTCTAACTAAAGTGGCATCGTGATTTAAAGTCTCCTATTATACCATACCAATTTAAACTTAAAAAGAGGGAAAAAAAGAATTCTACCCATCAAGAATGTTTATTATAAATTAAAGTTATTCTTTTGTAGCATGTCTTATTTGCATATACTATAAATCTTATGTTAAGGGTTTGGATATGAGGGAATATTGAAAATTTAATATGCTACATTTCCAGAAACACTATTCTTTCTTTATATAAAATCACAAATATATTATTACTGTTACTTATAATGATGGGATAAAAGTAATGTTACATTTATTTATTTTTTTATTTTACTTCTCTTATGTAAGTATATAATTTACACAGCAGTAGAAATATGTATCTAAATTTGTTCAAAATATTACTTATCCAGCAAACCTGTCATCTTAAGGTTGAGTATAAGTGACTGGCTCAAAGACACCCAGTTGGCTTCATGCCTAAAGTGTAACTAAAAATCATGGTCTCCCAATTTCTAATCAAGTGCCTTAAACCATTACACTAAAATGGCTTTATGTTTACATACATAGAGATACACACATACATGTGTGTGTGTGTGTGTGTGTGTGTGTGTATTTATTTACTTACAAATGAAATAAACTTACAAATGAAAGAAGAAAAATAGCAATGATTTTCCACACCCAAAGATGAAAAATACCTGCCTGGGCAATTGAAGCAGTAACTGAACTGATGGGAGGGGCGGGGAGGGGGGCAGAGGAAAAAAGAAAGAAAAGTAACATGGAGAAAAATGGAGTGGAATATTATGAAAGGCAACTAAAACAATAACAAAACATTTGTATTTGTATTTATATTTATTTGTCCAGGTTAGACATATAAAATTCTATTTGATAGCTACTCCAATAATTTTCCATAAATATTATTCAATGATATAGATAAGATTTTTGAAAAAAAAGTTATTTATCATGAACTCTATTGGTTTGTCAAATTACCAGAGGAATTTTGCAAAGTAAATAGTTTTATTTGATACTTTAATTTTCACAATCAATCAAACATTCATCAGTGAATCAAATTGTTTAAATTGCTTGTCAATGCCCAACTACTAAATTTTCTTGGATAAGTCATGCAGCATCTTTCACAAGCTCTTAATGTTGCTGCTCTTAAAGAGCCATAATAACATGTTAATAATTGGATGAAAACAAATGACCTATAGGTTATGGGTTTGGAAATTAATTAGATGCAATGGCACTTATCACATTATTTATACTTACTTTGCATAGTCAAAAAGTCGACTATCCCAAAGAACGTGTGTTCCTCTAGCAGCAGAATGGAAAAATGCTGAATCTGTACCATCAAAATTGTTCAGGCCATCTTCAGAATTCTTTGATGCATGACTGTGCACAACATCTAATAGAACTGTGATTCCCATTGAGTGGGCAACATCAATCAGTTCCTTCAAGTCATCTGGAGGGCCGTATCGACTAAAATGCATAAATATTTAGAATTAATTCTTTACAACTTTGATTTTTTAATTCAGCATGATTACTATTATTGCGATTCACTAGAACTGTAACTGTTATTTAATGACAGCACATTAGGGAGGCATAGAAGATATTTTATATATTTAAGCTTAGGAAAATCAAGTGATAAGACTGAGATGATTATAAAAGGCACATCAATTATGTGATATAATCCTAGGCTAAACAAACAACAGTTTAACCTATACAGAGTACTAACTCAATAAAATTAACATTTTCTTTATTTATATGCTGGTATAGTGATTTGACTCCCAGAATGAAAGAAAGAAGGTGAAAAAATAACTCACTGGGAGGCCTTAAGCAAATCATTAGATACTTTCTGAAGTCATACGAAAAAAGTAAGTTCAATCTCTCTCATATGAATGCTGTGAAGAACATACGAGATATAGACTCTAAGCACTTTCCAAGTAAAAGTACCGTAGAAATAAAAGAGTGAAATTTTAATTTGCATCACTTTTCAGTCATTTCAAAAAGAAATTATAACTTAGTTCACATTCAAACTGACTTTTAGAAGAGTACATTTTTAGCAGCTTTAATTTCAGCAGCATATGCAGTGTATGTTGAATGTATCTAGAAATGGAATTGCAGTGATAAAAAAAGTTGGAAGGACAAACTGTAGCTACAAAGATAATTTGTTCTAATCTCAAATACAGTGTCTTGTGGTAGAACTCTTGATCATAAATGCAGAGTTGGCAGCCATTAGATTTCAGATAGCTTTGAATCTACGATAATACTCAAGCAATTAGCAATGTAATTTTACCCAATTTTACCTAATGTGAAAGGCTTTAAACTTGAATATTTATTTTAAAACTCTTTAATATTTCTAAATCTAAAATAGATTTAGTTTATAACATTATTAGAATTAATTATAGTTATAAATTAATCTGCATTATATAGGGTTGTTGTTTTTTTCAAATTACAGTGGCTTTGTTCAATTAATCTAAAACCAAATGTATTTTGTGCAGGTTTCCCCATTTATCTTTCATTTCTGAAAAGAACAAGACTTCTGACAGAGAAACAAATTATTCCATATCTTTGAAGAAATTTATATGGATAATGAATTAAAAATAAAATCTATTGCTTTATTGTATATTATCTTGACCCTGGTCCCAACAAAGGAAACATATCAAAACAGATTAATAAAAATATTCATTTATTTAAAATAATTTAGTTATTCTATATACATTCCCTCAGACTGCCTCGTTCTCAACTTTGAGGTTTTATTTGGACACTGCTATCATCCACAGAGATTTTGAAATGTGAGAGTGGAGAATATACATTCTTTCAACTGAAATGGGCAATTATTGAGGTATAGGATTGAAAAACTCAAGCCTTTAAAATACTTTCAGTTTACTACTACTTTCTTTGGCTTCTTTCTTGTGTACAGTAATATTTATTTATTAATCAAATGGCTTTATAAGAAAAAATTAAAACTGCAGAAGATGCCTTTTATCAAGCTTTTTGATACAAATGAATCAATATCGGACCATATTCCTATTATCTGTAATATGTAAGGATGACAAATCATTGAAATATTGTTCCATTTTGGGCTACAAGTCAATTGGTGGCTACAACTGCTGAAGTTATAAACACAGTCTATCATATAATATTCCCTGATTAAGTTAGTCAATTTTGTCTTTTCATTGGTTTAAGTCTTTCTGATAGATTACTTCTTATGAAGAGGAAAAAATAATAAAAATAATAAAGCATACCTTGATGCTGCAAAAAAACTTGTGATCTGGTAACCAAAACTTGCATAGTAAGCATGTTCCATCACAGCCATCAACTGAATACAGTTATATCCTGTTTTTAGAAGAAAATTAGTGATTTCAACAGTGCTTTTTAAAGAAAACAATGGCCAATATTACAATTATTGGTCAAGATCATCTATGTTTATCAAAATATAAGTTAGAAATACACTAACAGGAAATCTAACAAGTTAAGCCCAAAAGAATCATTTTTTTTTTTATTATCACAACTGGGAAAGCCGACATTTGAAGCAACCCTTTAAGTGCATTGAAATATTGGTCTTTTACTAAGAAATATATAATATGTAAATATAATTATAATTTGACTTTAGAACATTAAGTATCCCAATGTGCATGTTTTGAACTTAAAACTGCATTTTTTGATATTTACAGTGTTAATCATAAAAGTAACTGACTATACATATATTAAACTTTGTGCTTTTCTTAATGTTTCAAACATTTCCATTTCTAATTGACATTTTTCCTCCAAATTTATTTCCTCAAGGAATCTCTTTAAAAAACAAACATTAAAGAAGCAGAAGTTTGATCTGAAATGTATTGAAAGTTCAGAGCACCAAAGAAGAAAAATCTTTCTATTTGTCCCTTATCCAACTCAAAATATATTTTTTTTGATGTTAATTAAGTAAATCTGAAGGGAAAAGTATAATTTAATGATGAAACCACACATATTTAAAAGAAAACTCTTACTAAGGCAATGAAGCCAATGTATATAAATCCCCCCTTAGCAACCAAACAAGGATTATTGGCAAAGAATAAATTACAGGTCAAACTTGAAAGTCGGTGGACATAACCATTTTATATTACTTATTGTATTAGCACTTAGCATTAGCATTAATTATAATCTTTGATTAAAAGTATTTCACCTAGCCTTAATTTTAAAAATTAATTCTGTGAAAAAATGTTTTTGAATCTGTATTGTTTTCTTTTAAAATGCAATGGTCACAACTAACTGTAGCATTAAATTACAGATTTTTTTTCAATCAGTTATTGATGCTTCTAGTAGAATCATGCTAAATTTTAAATTGGTCTGCCTCTTTGGTCTTCCCCCTCCTCAAGAAACCAACATTGGACCCAACTTGTCTGGACAATTTTCATCCAGTTTCCCAGTTCCCATTCTAGAGTAGGTGGTGGAAAAAGTTGATGTGTTGCAGCTCCAGAAGTCCTGCATGAAACAGATTAACTGGACCCCTTTCAGTTGGGTTTCAGGCTGGGCTATGGCACAGAAATGGCATTGGTCACGCTTGTGAATGATCTCTGGCAAGAACGGAGTGGGTAGTGCATACTCCTTGCTCTCCTTGACCTCTCAGCAGTTTTCAATACCATGGAATCCTTTTTGGTTGGCAACAGGATTTGGGGCTGGGTGGCATAGAATTGCATTGGTTCAGCTTTCTTCAAGGCAAGTCCCAACTGGTGTTAACATGGAGTGAAAGGTCCAGACCACGGCCACTTCTCTGTGGGGTGCCACAGGATTCAGTACTTTCTCCACTCTTTTTTAACATCTGTATGAAACAACTGGGTGAGATCATATGACACCATGGGATGGCATATCATCTGTATGCTGTTGACATACAGCTTTATAGCTCCATCCCTGGTGGTCCAAGTGATGCTGTAGCTGCTCTTTCTCAATGCCTAGAGGCTGTAGAGGTCTGGATGGGGAAACAACAGGCTTCAGCTGAGCCCTGGCAAGACAAAGTGGCTATGAGTGTGGTTATTTATCATTAGTTCTAGATGGGGTTGCACTATTTCAGACAGACCTGATGTGCAACCTTGGGGTTCTCCTGAACCTGTGACTCCTGCTTGAAGAGTAAATGACATTTATGGTTAGAAGAGTCTTTGCACAACTTTGTGTTGTGCTAGCTGAGTCCTTACCTAGATCATGAGGCCCTGCATATGGTCACTGCTGCCTTAGTCATTTTTCAGTTGGTTTATTGCAACATGCTCGACATGCAGAACGCAGCAGTGCACAGTTATGGGAGCCCTAGTGGCACATATAACACCATTGTTGTCCAAGCTGCATTAGTTACCAGTTGCTTTCAAGTCCAATTCAAGGTATTGGTTATTACCTTTAAAGCCCTATATAGCATGGATCTGAGGAGTATCTGAGGAGCCATCTCACCCCAGTGGGACTAGCCCATCCCATTTGTGCCAGTGAAAGAGGCCTGCTACGGATCCCATATGCTCAGGAATTCTGGCAGGTGAGGTTAAGGAGAAGAGCCTTTTCCACCATGGCCCTGTCCCTTTAGAACACTCTACCAGCTTTTTATATCCCAACTTATATTACAAGCTTTTTACGTCTCTTTTTTTAAAAAAAAAAATCTCAAAAGCACTTTTAGTCCCCAAATTTTAAAGTTATATATGTGTATTGATTCCAAATTAATCTTGTAATTTTCTCTGTTTCCCCCCACCCCCAAGCAACTAATTCGCCGTGTTTCTTTTTCTGAGGGAATGGGGTGGAAATTTCCCTTCCCTCTCTCATCGGGGAGGATTCTTTGCTTTGGGTGGCTTTTTCCCAGGAAAAAGTCTTAAAGTCATAAAGAGAGCATAGGGTCTCACCCAGTTCCATCCATGTTGCTCATTAACCTGCTGGTTAATGCTTATTTTCTTCGGTTGTCAGCAGCTTCTGACTGGTCACACGAATGTAGCCAATCTTTTCCCTGCCAGTTTGGAGGGCACCCACGATCAATAAGGGTCTCCTCCTTTTCTGTCACCTTTTTGGGGCAATTTTTGACCCTTTTTAGGGGCCCCAGCAGGGTGAAATTGAATGTGGAAGACGAAGCCCCGTCTTCCTGGGCCCATAATACCGCAACATTAAACCGGAAGTCCACACCATGTTTCTGATGACATCTTTTTATGTTTTGGAAAGCCACTGTCATGGCTCTTAACAATCTCTTCTTTAAATTAAAAATATAAAGTAACCAGAGAACAGTTCAAATATGCAAATCTATCAAGATATTTTGAATGTTGAACCTTTTTTTGTAATTCACAGAGGAACTAACTCTGTCATCCAGCTTTATGCTATCAACAAATTTTATAAATATCCTTTTTATTTCCTTTTCTAGGTCATTTATAAAGATATTAAAGAGTCCTGAACCCAGAACTAAACTCTTAGATAAGAAACCACAGACTTTCCTCTATGTGGGCACAAAGGACTATGTGTTGCCTATGGTTGTTCAGTCAATTATGAATCCATCTGGTAATCCATACCACACTGATCCTATTTATCAAAAAGGAGGCTGTGATCTACTTTATCAAATGTGTTACTAAAATCTAAGTACACTATATTCACAGCATTCCCTAGATCCACTAATTGTCTGGTATGATCTATGCTGGCTTTTGATAAACACTCTTCAAAGTGCTTGCAAACCCACAACTTATTTTTTCTAGAATGTTCCCAGGTGTTGATATCAAGTTGATTGGTTATTCATTTTCAAGTTCCTCTTTTCCCCACTTTTTTTAAAATATCGTCACAATGTTGGCTCTTCTCCAATCTTCTGGCACTTCCCCTGTGCTTCAGTATTTCTCAAAGCATGGCTACTCACAGATGCTGGAAATTACATACAACTCGATTAGTAAATTGAATTAGCAATTTATTTTTGGATGTGGTTCTTTACATAAATATATTCCCAATGGTATCTTGACTTTAGCAGCTTTCTAAAAAAAACTACATGTACCACACACTAAAATGCACTGAGGTGATGCATTAAAAGCAATATGGAGACTTTTGAAATGAAACTTCTAATAAAAGCACAGGAGTCATTAAAAAATATCTCAAAAGAAGCCACAGATATCACTTACCAAGATCTTTGATTTTTGGAAGAACATTGTATGTAAAGTTTTTATATGAAGCTATTTTCCCTTCAGGGGAAGCAATTCCCACATGTGATTCATAGATTCTCATACTTTTGGGTTTCTTAGGAATGGGATGTTTCCACTACACAAGAAAAAAAAACGTTTAAGAATAAAAATATGAAGCTGTTAGTTTTATTAGGCAAGAATGGTCATGATGTTAAAATCTAAACCAGCACACTCAGTTTTATATAAACAGAAGTTATGGAGTACATCATGTACATTTTGAAGTTGGAAAGAATCTTATTCCATTACTGACAGCAATTTATTGTGCATAAATTCCTTTGTCCAAAGTTCCCATGAGACATAATTTAATCAAGGCACATCCACAGGAAAAGTTGCTGGTTTCAAAATTGTAGGTACAGCTAAGCAAAAGTCTGCCCCTTTTTACATGTTTGCAATGCATATTAAAAGGGGGCACGTATTTGATCATCTGGATGAAACTATTGCTGTAGATCAGTGGTTCTCAACCTGTGGGTCGGGACCCCATTTGGGGTCGAACGACCATTTCACGGGGGTCGCCAAACAACGCAGTCCGCCATTTTTTTCCCCTTTTCCTTAGCTGTGCTACTCCCTTTTATTCTATTGGCTTTTGAAAGCCAATAGAATAGACTCTCTTGAATAGAGTCTAATTCTATTGGCTTTCAAAAGCCAATAGGAATTGTCCAGGCTTGTCTCTGCCTTGCTGAGCCTGCCAAAAGTCCCATTCTGCAAATGGTGCTGCACCAATTAAGTAGTCCTTGACTTACGACCGGTTGAGTAGTCCTCGACTTACGACTGGTTGGGGGTCGCGGCATTAAAAAGGTTGAGAACCACTGCTGTAGATGCTCCTGCCTCTATCTGCGGCCAGGCAGACATCGCAAAGGCAAAATATACATTGTCCACTTAATTCCTAATGTTTTTTTTTTAAGGTCAGTAAATTTTTTATGAATAATTTATTAAAATTCCTTTGGTCAGAACATTCATACTATCTCAATTTGACTACTGTACCATACAATTTGTAGGCAAACTTGTTTTCAAAAGTCACAAGAGATTAGATTTCATCATTAACTTGAAGATAGAGAACATCACACAGAATAGAGAGAATTCTCTTCCAGTGTAGAATTATAATGGCATTATTTATCATTACTATTTTTGACATCAAATAATGCTTTTAGGAAAGTCCTAGGTTCCTGAGAAGACAGTTTGAAAACTAGGGCATATTTTAAAGTTTATCGGTTCCTGTACTATTCATATTGGAAACATTATCCACTGAATGTTTTATATTGTCCTTTCCATTCCATTGCATCCCAGTTCTCAGTTCTCATCTCTCTTTCCTATCAATAAATGAAAGATTAATTTACTGAGCCTAGTAGCAGGAATATTGTAGAAAGAACATACAAAATTAATAACAAGTCTCTGGACTGCTAAACAAGTTGTAATTGCATGCATGTTGCATAAATCAGTATTGCTTATCATACAGAGCTAAATTACTGAAATATGGAATGCTTTTTGAAATGTGAAAGTTCACAGAGTTTGTAAAATTAAAGGCTGACAGCAAATCACAGAAAGGCTTAAGTATATTTTGACAATTTTTATTTGTTTTTTGAAAAGGACAAAAAACAGATACAGGTGCTCTGTGTACTGTTATAAATTTAATTTTGTAAAGAAAGTGTTTTCCTTTTATAATCTATGTTACACTGCATATAAATAATGAATAAAATTATATTTAAAGTTCTTTGAATGGATTTCTGGAAATTTAGATTCTTCAGAATAATCACAGTAATAAAGCTCACTCACTTTAATATTCCCTATAGTTCTTCAGTTGACCTAAGTCCTTCAACAACATCTATCATCTTATTGGGGAAAGACTGAAACTGCATTTCAAATACAGGACTATTACTGAGATACTATGTGCCTTCATTTATGAGGAAAAAGAAGTGACACTATCCCTGTGGATTCATCAGATTAACTTTTCATACAGAATTAGATTTGCAATATGGCATGAAAACACTCCTTCCAGTTTGATATAGGCATCACTACCATTTCTAAGTGGGTATCTTCTACCAGGCAATATACTGAAGCAAGTGAGCGCTCATTAAAGCTGCCTTCAATTGAATTTAGTTCCTGGAAATGCTTTCTTGACAACAGTATGGAAGTAATTTGCCATTACTTTCATCTAGGATTTTTAAAGAAAACAACCTACAATCTGAATGTCTTCCATCTAGATCTGGCCAGCCTTAATTTTTGAGCACAAATTAAGATAACCTAAGGACTACCTTTGATTGATATACATATAAAATACCTTTAACAATTTGCAAACATAAATGTGTGTGTTGGTATGTGTGTGTATATTATATTACATTAAGTATGTTAATAGGAAAGTGCACATAGTTTGCCCCTCTAATAAGCAATATTCTACATGTAAAGAGTATAATTCTTTCTCCATGTAACTAAGAGAGTTTACAAGCTGTAAGAAAAAAGCCCACTGACATGTATAAAAATATCAAATTTAAAATTTATAAGAAATAAATCACAATTAATTTAGTAACTTACTTTATATGGAGTTGATGACTCCCAGTGTATCCAATCATAATTCACATTGGTACCCTCACGAACTACATATCTAGCCCAAGGAGAAATGCGATAAAGGACCTCTCCAGTTTTGGTTCTTATCACCAACTAAAAAATTCAATGCAGTGAGAAAGTATGGAAATTAAATTAGGATTGGAAGTATAAATTAGATGTAGCCGTGATTATAAAGATCAGTCCCATATTTAAATACTCTTTTTCTCACTATTATAGTGTTTTACAGTTGAAAATATTTTTGATGCAGGTTATTCTACACTAAAATCAAGCCACACACACACAGTTCAGCATGAATGTAGTTACAGAGACTATTAATTAGAAAAAAATAGTTACACATTTTTATAGTCACTAACTTGCCTATTTGTTGTATGCATAAAAATATCAAAAAAAACCTGAATGTATTATTAATAAAAGTCTCGATAACTTGACCCATACTGAATAAAAATAATATAAAATGTCCGGTTGTATTTTAACTCATTTACTGAACAGTCACATTTGCCAACACTTGCTTGCAAATAGTTTCATACTAAGAATATGTCAGGCACAGCATACAAATATATGAAACAATTAGTGATAAGAGTTCCTAAAAAATTCCCTCATTTTTTCATACTGTTTTCACTTATAATATGATCATTCTACACAATAGAATGTGGTATGTTGGGACACTCAATGATTGGAAGCAGTTTTTTTCAGTGGCTGCCCAAACTCTATGGAACATTGTGGTCCTTAAGATCATGATTGTGCTTTGTTAACCACTGATACTTAACAGAATATACTAGTTCTATTCCATCAAGCATCATTTTATTCCACATATTCCATCAAGAAAGGTCTCTTTTGACATGCTTTGGGGAACATAAAGTGTTATATCATTGGGCTGTTGCTAATTTAAAAGGAAATGATTGTTTTACCAATTAATATGAAATAAATTAATGCTTTCTCCATTGTAGTTGCTATTTAATAGATTTTTGCATTCAAAAGCTACTAAAAGTAGTAGCCTCTGACTGATTCATGTACATTTCTTTTGAATAACAAATGAAGGTCATTACCACAACTGATAAACAACTATGTTTCTCTATGCTCTCCTTCATACTAAGTTAAAAAGTTAGTTGCATAAGCTTTATTTTTAAACAATATCCTAATAATAGTTGTATACATGTTGCATTTTTAACAGATCTCTGTTGACATATGACTAAAACTATTCATACTGCTCCAAGTGCACTTACAATGGATTTATATAAAGACATTACTATAGTCACAGCTTTATTTTCAATTCCCAATGATTCCAAGCATCAAATTTGCTTGTTTATGGCAGTTGCAGTTGGGTTGACATTTTCACTGAGTTATCCATCATGACTCCAAAATCATTTTTCTGATCAATCTCTTCCAGCTCAGATCTCACAGATATATATGTAAAGTTCGTAATTTTAGAGCCACTGAGATTCACATTGCAATTGTACTATTGTCAATAGCAAGGCTTATTCACTCACTTTCAAGATTGTATTAGAATCCTTCACAAAACCTTTCTGATTATCTTATGCTAAATAGTTTGATATCATCAGTTTACTTGGCCAATCTTCACCCATAAGAACAAGTAAATTATAACGCACAGTTTTCTACAAGTTTTTGGAACAGTAGACTGTGCATATTTCTTCAATTTTTTTAAAAAAGGTCTATTTATTAATGTTTATCATTTTTAATGAACTGTCAACATATGAAAGCATATTTTTTCTTATACCACTATTACACAATTTCCATTAGCAGAAGAGCTGTTCCAGGCTCTGCCTAGCACGTTCGGAGCCAGTGAAATGAGCACCATTAAAACTTCTAAAATTAAGCAATATTTATTTATATTAATTGCCTTGTCAGTGTTAATTACATTGTCAGCATGTAGGATGCCCAGGTATTTGTAGTGATAGTCTTCATCCAGACTCCTAATGTTATTGGGCATCTTGATTTCTGCAGTTTTCACTCTTTTTATTTTATTTATTTATTAGATGTATGTGTTACCCATCTCATCTAGATGAAAGAGAGAAAAAGAACCATATAGTCCCCCTATTGAATGGTGATGGTAGCACAATTCTCCAGTCCAAATTCCATTGTAATATCTCGACTGTATATACGAACAGTGTTGAGCAGTGAATGCCAAATCTGTTGATTTATTTTTTTCAGAAAATCCAGAAAATATCTCAAAAGAGAAGAAAAAGAACTTCTCTTTTTGTCCTGTAAACTATTGTCTGAATAACTCTTGAGTATTTATTTAATTATAAAGCTCTCTTTTCTGTCAAGAGAATAAATGAGTACTGCTTTTGATAACACATTCTGCTGTGAACAGATATTTCAATGAATGAGAACATTTCCTTGTTTCCTACATGAATTTATTTTAGTCTTTTCAAACATTAAAATTATATCTTTGGTCAAATATTCTGTACTTTCAGTGGTAAATAGCTTTCAGTCTTTGTAACCTCTCAAACTCTTGTGTCATATGATGCAAAAACAAAACAAATAAAAAAAGGTAGCAGTAGGTGCTCCCATGTGCTTATGTCATGATAACATATCATCTGAATGCCACATTTTATTTTTTTAATCAGACATGATTATTTCATTAATTAGACTGTATTTTTTAAAAAAAACTGTGATTAAAATGTTGCTATTTATATAAAAGATAATTTCTTTGAATAACTATACACTTTGTGAGAAATTCCTTCTTGACTGAGTTCATATATATGGTTAAATAATGTTACTCTAGTAATACATGGATTTCACTAAATGCCTACTAAAAACAAGATATATAGTTGCACCTTTAAAGCTGCATGTGAGAACTTTCTCTTATGTAATATTGTGCAATTTCCACATGGTTAACAAAATCCTATTCTGACTACTAGTAATTTAAAAAGCTGGATAATTGCATTAATGACACCAATCTTTTTAAAGTCATCATAAATATTTACATAATTCCTTTACTGCTAATATTCAATATATATATTTACTAAAGATTAGTTTTTGTTGCTGGTTGATTAGTGTTTCTTAAATGTTACTGAAAAAAGAGAGACATATTAAAATGATAGATAGATAGATAGATAGATAGATAGATAGATAGATAGATAGATAGATAGATAGAGGTAGATAAATAGATTAGACAGACAGACAGACAGACAAAGAGTTTGTATCAAGTAACAAAGTCTTGTCTCTGAAAGAAGTCATGCCTTGATTTTCCAAAAGAGGGAGATGTAACTCTATTCATAAAAATAAATGGAAGCTTTCCATTTGAAAAAAAAGCATATGAAATATATTCTAGTGACTTATTAAAAAACAGTATCTTCTCTCATTTTACTTCTGCATTAAATGTCATTTTATGTATCATTACTGGTATATCCATTGAAAACACAAATCCAATCCTAGTTTCATCTAGGCCACGTTAACCAAAATGAAAACTCTATTCAGAAATATAAAAAACAAAATGCATATGAATATATATGACTAATATGAGATATATCAATCATGGCAATAATTAGCAGTGATACAAATTTCAGCTTCTAATAGCTTTTAAAGACAAGGGGTAGATAACAGGCTGTCCACCACTATAATCCTCCAAAGATTTCAGAACTATCCTTCCTCTTTTTTTCTATTCCTGCATTCAGAAACTGGCAAACCATGAAAAAAGATAATTCTATTTTTTTCTCAACAAGACTGAAAATAGAAATGGACAAATTCCATGCACATAAATGGGGCGTTGTCTTACCTGAACGCTTTTTCTCAGCATGAAGAATGGAGAATCCACAAATGGGTTAAAGAAGTCCTTTAGCCCAATCATACCAAATCAATCAAGTTGCCACGCCCTTGCTGGACTGGACCTTTCCCCAGTTTTGAGAAGAGCGAAGCTAAACTGTGTGATGTGTTGGCTCTCAGCTACTGACACTGACCTGACTGTGAATTTCAAAAAGAGGAGGGGGTGAATTCTCCATTCTTCATGCTGAGAAAAGGCGTTCAGGTAAGACAACGCCCCTTCTCCAGCATGGAAAAGAATGGAGAATCCACGAATGGGACATACCAAAGTCTATATGACCCTACGGATGGGAAACAGGCTGGTCAAGTGTCAACGCTGACTGAACTATCTGCTGTAAAACATGTTGGTTGAAGGAGGCCTCTGCAGAGGCAAATTTATCAAGCCTGTAATGACGGATAAAGGGGGAAGGCGAAGACCACGTCGTCACCCTACAAATGTCAATAATAGAAGCCTGAGTGTGCCACGCAGCTGATGTGGAGGCACTGCGTGTGGAGTGCGCTGTCAGATGGCTTGGAACAGGCAGGGAGTGTACCCGGTACGACTCCGCAATGCAGGTCTTGATCCACCTGGCAATAGTAGAGGAAGAGACCTTCTGACCTTTAGAAACTGGATGGAAAGAGACAAAAAGCGCCTCCGATCTACGAAAGGCAGCTGTCTGTTTAACATAATATCGCAGGACCCTGTGGACATCTAGAGTATGCCATTGCCTCTCTAAGTCGTGTGATGGGTTAGGACAAAAGTCCAGTAATACAACCTCCTATGCCCTGTGGAATAAGGTGTTAACCTTGGGAATGAACGAAGGGTCCAACTGTAGGACCACTCTGTCCTGATGAAAGATGCATAGGTCTTCCCTCATGGAAAAAGCTGCTAATTCCGAGATGCGCCTTGCTGATGTCACTGCTATTAAGAAGGCCACTTTAAGGGACAAGTGTCGCAGAGTGCAAGATCTGATGGGTTCAAAAGGAGTTCCTGTAAGAGCCTGTAGAACCTGTGGTAACTCCCAAGTGGGGTAACGATGGACTACAGGGGGGTTACTGTTTGTAACCCCCTTGATAAAGAATCGAACCCTCAGGTGTTGAGACAACGGCGCGGAATTGGCACAGGTGAAAACTGTGGAGAGAGCCATCACTTGCCTATGGATAGTGTTGGGTGCTAGGCCCTTATCTGCGCCTTCCAAAAGATATTCGAGTATCCTCGGAGTAGTAACAGAAGATATGGACAAACTATTTTGGTCACACCAGTGACAGAAGTTCTGCCAGGTGGCATCATAGATCCAATTTGTCACCAGCTGCCGAGAGGCCTGGATCAT